GTCCTGCCCGCTGGTACAAACATTTTGGTCAGCCATTCATGAAAACATTAAACTGATCCTCAAGTTGAATATCCCATTCTGCCCAAGCCTGTTCGTCTTAGGCGATCCTCTCCCTCTAAAAACCCTCTCTTCAGCACAGGCAGAGTGGGTGCAAACATCCCTCATGCTGGGAAGGAAACTCATAGTTTCAGAATGGAAGACGACAACATTACCACCAGTCAGGGTGTGGTTCTCACAGTTGGGCATTGTGGCAGCTCATGAGGGTCTCTCTTTCAGATTGACTAACCAGGTTGAGAGATACCACGCTAAGTGGGGGAACTACATCTCATTCATCAAGGGACCCTGACATTTCTGTAGACCTGATAATGGACTATTACTACTGGAACAATTGTTGTTTTTTTTTAAATTTTCATACTATCTGCCAATCTTATTATGTTCTATGTTCTGTCTTTTTTATTTTTATTTTTATTTTTTTGACGCATGTATAATAGTAGTGTGTATTGTACATGCGCAGGTGTCTATGTATTTAAAAATCTTTAATGCCATTTTATTTTCAGTTTCGATTGTCTTGATGTATTGTTTGTTATTGTTGAAAAAATGAAAATGAATAAAAACTTCTAATCACAAAAAAAAGAAAAAAAAAACTTTTCAAGTCTGAGGTTGCAATACAGTGTCATTAACAGAACATAATTTAAAATTAATTTAACAGACCTTTACATCATTCACCTGCAATCCTGCGGAACTCCTCCTTGATGGCTCTGACAGGCTTATGTACAGGGAAAACGACAAAGATGGGTAAAAGCCATTTCAGGGTGAGGCACACTTCTCTGACTGCCGGTGGATGAGTAATTTAAAGGTGGGTTATAATTTTAATTAATGCAATAATTTTCTTTGTTGTGGAGATAAGTCTGCCTTTTTTCTGAAAAGGCCACTTTTGTGAAAATATGTCCTATGAAGTGTTTCTCACAATGTGGCAAAAAACTTTTGTCTTCATATTTAGCATATTTTAAGACATTGTGATGCCAAAACGTGTTTGTAAATGCTGAGTTTAAACCACTAAAGTCTTGCTGTTTTCATGCTCTTAAACAGTTTTGAGAGAGAGAGAGAGAGAGGCACATTTAATACATTTTGTGGTAATTGGTCATCAAAAATAGTGATACCAATAACTATAATAATGCCAAACAATGGTTCATCTAGTTGGGACAACTGACATCTAGTTTCATCTAGTTTTTCCAATCTATATTGCAGCATATAGGTTTTACAACATCTGAATTTGCTTTAGCTCTGCATCAAACTTAAGAATTAATGTCCATGGTAAACAATGATGTTTTCTTTCATTTATTTAGCTTCCTCTAGCATAAACAAGTTATTTCAAACAGTCAACATGACATGACATTAAAAGTAACACAATGAACACTTGACATCAAAACGAAATTACCCGTCCTACGTATTATAAGAGCACTTGAAGCACAATTTTTGGATCAGTTAAAAAGGAAACATTCAACAAAAGGCTATAGTCACCTATCCATCTGCCAGAGGTGCCTGTCAACTGCAGATCTGTTCAGGAAATGTAGTAAACATATTGCTTTCAGTTCTTCCTTCCCAACAGTATAATCTGGTTCATTGCACCAGCTCCCCCTCTAGTTTCTAACTTGTATTCTCAATCTTTCTAAACTGTATATACAGTGCCGTGAAAAAGTCTCTTCTCCCTTCTCAAATTCTTATTTTTTTGAATATTTCCCCCACTTAAGTGTTTAAGACCATCAAACAAATTTAAATATTAGACAAAGATAACCAAAGGAAGCACAAAATGCAGTTTTTAAATGATAATTAATGTTTTAGAGGAAAAATGCAATCCAAACCTACCTGGCCCTGTGTGGAAAAAGTAATTGCTTCCCTTTTTAAATCATGAATTAACTGTGGCTAATCACAGTTTTTGGAAAGCTGAGTTCAATTCCACTGACCACACCCAAGCCTGATTACCTCCAGACCTGTTCAATCAAGAAATCACTTCAATAGAACCTGTCTGACAAAAGATCTCAAAAAGCTGCAACAAAATATCATGATACAAAGAAATTCAAGAACAGATGAGAAATTAAGCACTTCACATATATCATCCTTGAAAGGGTTACAAAGCCATTTGTAAAGCTTTAGGAATTCAGCGAACCACGATGAAAGCCATTATCCACAAATGGAGAAAACATGGAACAGTGGTGAACCTTTCCAGGAGTGGCTGGCTGACCAAAATGACCCCAAGAGCACAGCAACGACTCATCCAGGAGGTCACAAAGGAACCCAGGACAACATCTAAAGAACTGCAGGCCTCCCTTGCCTCAGTTAAGGTCAGTGTTCATGACTCAACAACAAGGAAGAGACTGGGCAAAAATGGCATCCATAGCAGAGTTCCAAGGCCAAAACCACTGCTGTCCAAAAAGAACATAAAGACTCATCTTACTTTTGCAAGCAGACATCTGAATGATCCCCTAGACTTTTGGGAGAATATTTTATGGACTGATGAAATGAAAGTTGAACTTTTTGGAAGGTGTGTGTCTCGTTACATCTGGCATAAAAGTAACAGCATTTCAAAAAAAGAATATCATATCAACAGTCAAACATGGTGGTGGTAGTGTGATGGTTGTGAAGCGCTATGAGATGGCTTGTTGTAAATATGCGCTATACAAATAAAATTGAATTGAATTGAAAAATTGAATTGATGGTCTGGGGCTGCTTTGCTGCTTCAGGACCTGGACGACTTGCTGTGATTGATGGAACCATGAACTCTACTCTCGACTAGCAAATCCTGAAGTTCCTGATGTTCAGCCATCAGTTTGTGACCTCAAGCTGAAGTACATTTGGGTTCTGAAGTAGGACAACGATCCCAAACACACCAGCGAGTCCACTTCTGAATGGCATTTAAAAAAAAAAAAAAAAGAAGGTTTTGGAGTGGCCTCGTCAATCCAGTCAAGCCAGTCCAGACTTAAATCTGCTGTGGCATGACCTTTAAAAGGTTATTCTTGCTCGAAAATCCTCCTGTGTTGGTGAATTCAAACAATTCTGCAAAGAAGAGTGGGCCAAAATATCTCCACAGAGATGTGAAAGAATGATTTCCAGTTATAGAAAATGCTTAATTTCCGTTGTTGTTGTTGAGGGTGGGCCACCCTTGTAGTTATTAGGTTACTTTTTCATAGTTACATTTTTTTTCCCCCCCTTTATGAATAAAGTCATTGTTTAAAAACTGCATTTTGTGTTTACTTGGGTTATCTTTGTCTGATATTTACATTTGTTTTATAATCTTAAACATACAAGTGGGGAAAATATGCAAAAATATAAGAATTTGAGAAGGGGGCAAATACTTTTTCGCGATACTGTAACTTGTATTCATGTTTACAAATTGGGCTCCTTTCCATTGGGTTGGAAATTATGTTCATTTCCAAACAAAACTACATTCCCTAAAAAACATATTTCAAAAATGTAGTTAAGCTGTGTAGTAATGCAATTTTGTGGAGAAAGGGTTGGTTGATAGGACAAATACTGACAAGCACAAACATTTTCAATGCACACTGTAACAGTGATGTGTAGATCAGGCTTAGCCACTTTTAGTTTCACACTTACAGAGTTAGGCTGTGTGCTGCATATTTTACACATAGAATGAACACCTAGTGAACCATTAAGAGATATTTGGTGAGTTGATCAAACAGGACAACAGTAACAAGAAACTGAGCAAATATGAGGGTTATTTTTTAAACAAATTTTGTTTTTGTGGAATTTAATGAAGTGGCTGTGCATGCATTGGGTAAGACGTATGAGTTATTAAGCTGCTGTGAAATTGAAAAAAGAGTGCAGAAATGCTGATGAAAAGCAATGTCCTGTGTGGTTTCCCTACTGACATGGCTAAATATTGTAAATTCTTTGTGAGGTGAGCGGATGTCACTAGTTGTGTCAGAGTTAAATGTCAAACCACAATTTAATACACACGCTCCCTCTCACATACACCACCAGGACCACCTGACAGGACATGTTAAAACTGCACACAGAATCTTACCAACCCAAATACACACAACTGAAGTTGTCTCCCACACTCTTTTCAAGTTGTTTCTTATGCCTACCCCTCAGTCCCCATTCTGCAGCTTACACAGGAAGTTGAAAGGTGACCCATATCTAGCAGAGTTTTTATTTTGTTTGGTCTCTGCACGGATGTCACTTGCTAAATGGAAATATACTGCATGGGTGGAGATAAAAGTGGCAACATGTATTACTATACTCATTGATTTACAATACACAAGTCTAGAGTAAGCAGTGTAATAAATCAATCTGCTATCCCTGTAGGCTAATATAGCAGACAGAAGTACCCAGATCAGAAGTAACACAAAGGAAATACATACTGCCAATGAAGTAAATGGCAAACCAACTGCCTCTTCCATGACAGTGGTTCAGTGTAGAAAAAAATAGTTAGCTAAACTAATGTTTAAATGTTATGGACTTAATAAATTCCCACACGTTAATATATGTTTAGATAGTGCAGTCTTTTCATGGATTGATCCTAAAGCAAACTTACACACTCTTTATTAAAAGTTTTTTGTTCTTACTTTGATACAGAACTGGTTGATTCTTCAAATGTTTCTGACCCTGGCCCTTAACACTGTATTAAAGGTCAGGCTGTTCTTTAGCATGTTGTGTGAACACATAGATTTACATACATTTCCAACAGCAAATGCAACAATTAGCCAGTAGCCTGTGACCATATTGGAGCATTTAGCAACTAAACAGCTAAATGTTTTTATTAGATGTTGGTGTCTGGAAACAACAGAGCAAGGAGGAGAGTAAATATTAGAATTTCTCTTCTTCTGAATCTACAATTCAATTAGAATTAAATCAGATTAAATTTGGTGTTTAAAAAAAAAAAGATAAAATTTGAAATGAGCACTGATATACTGTAATTATATATATATATATATATATATATATATATATATATATATATATATATATATATATATATTTTAGATGGATTTATTGCTGAATGCTGTCTGTAGCTCTTTGAGTGTCAGATAGCCAGTTTTAGAGGGCTCCATAGACACGGAAGAAGACCTGCAAATTGCACCAGCCACAAGCTCTGCAGAGTTAATACCAGCAGCTGTCACAGGTACAGCCACTTGTTGGCTGTCATTGGATATCTGTGTTACACTGGGAGGATAAGAAAGTGTGGGAAAAACAAACTGAGGGCGCATCTGGAAAGGAAGATGTAGAGGGAGGATGAGAAAATGAGAGCTGTTATCATCCAAAACCAGTTCCCCATCTATGTTCATGTCCGTTTCATTTTCCTTTTCATCTTCTTTTCCAATACCAAAACCAGAGTCTGGGCTTTGCGGCTCGCTCTTCAAACTTTTATAGGCTGGACAAGTGGTGTGTGAAGCGCAGGGGGAGGACTTAAGCTTAAGGTTGTTGCTGTTGTGTGGATGGTGGAAACCATCCTGATAGGGGAGGTAGGTTGGCTTGGGGTCAGCTTGAGCTAAGTCACTGGAAGAGCTGGACATGAAATAGCCCATGTTAGAGAAATTAGATGAAGAGGAGGAATTGTCAACAATTCCAATGGTGTCTGTGCAAGCAGAAGGGTAGCTCTGGAAGTAAATCGGGCCGCTGATGAAGCCAGAGGAGGGAGAGGTTGAGAGGGTCACATCCCAGTCCTCACACACCTCTACTGATGAAATGTGGTCACATGGCTCAGCTGTGAAGAATGATTCAGAAACTGACAGAGGATTCAGCCATTTCTAGGAAAGAGAAAGAAGTACTGTGCATTATCTTGCTTCACATAGGACTGAATTGAAATTTAAGGTTGAGAAAAGCATAGGTTTCAACAGAAAGCTAAAATGAATATGCCAGCAATCTCGTACTTTCATTTTCAGAAAATTGTAAAGCGAAGATGTTTGAAAAGCCCAGTCAAAACTGACGGAGGAAGGTCTGAGAAATTCAAACTTTTAGTCTCTAATCAAGCTCCAAAAAAGTCTAAACTCTACATTTCTAATAAGTCAACCATTAACATCGTAACATATTTTCAAAATCCCTCCACTGCCAAGTAAATGTCCATATCTTTAAAATAGGCCTTCTGTTATGTCAGGGATAAAACCTAGCAATTTGTTCTTTCCACAATTTCCATGCTAAATGATGCATATAAATTGTTCAGTTACTAAATGTTAATCCACACCTTCATACCAATCAGAATACAGAAATTTCAGTAGCCATGGCAAAATATGATTATAGCATTACCACTGAAAATTCTGGCTATCTATGTATGTGTTACAGAGAGCACTCTGTTACTTTATCTCTGCTGGATGGAAAATTCTAATAATATCATGTAGAAGAATATATTGCTATTGTCTGTTTTTCAGATTTAAAGCAACTGTTGAAAAATCTCCTTTCCCAATTTTAAAACTTGTCAGGATTACAAAACCACTGAAACAGTCTTGCCAGTCCCTTCGTGCTGTGATATATATTGCCCAGAGATGCAAATCACAAAAATTCTGAGTCTAAGGAAATATTTTTTATGATGTTAAAATAGGGAAGCCAGATCAAAATGAACTATATGTGTAAATAATGACTGAGTTCTGTTGACAGGTGGCTAGAATGTAAAATGGGATTCAGCAGCTGTTTGCTGAAATTTTCCAGTCAGATTTTTAATCTGTTAGACAATTTGTTCCGGTGAGAATGTTTCAGTGATTGTACAAATATCTTACTTGAAAAATTACATTTCAGGCAACTATGCACTTGTACTTCTAAGTATTGTACTTTCCCCTATTTTTAAATATTTTATAGTAAGGTATTACTCCTTAACTGTATGTAGGTGATCTTAATCTTATTCCATCATGTCATTGTTGCCAGGTCTACAATGCTGTATGATGTACTTGAAAGTCAAAACATGTCATTAGAAGGAATTAAAATGTGTTGGGGTTTTCTATGGCTCAGCCATGGCACCTTGACTTTTCAATGTCATGTACAAGTTGTGATAGTGAACCAGTTTAGACAGTCACACTTTCTACTTTTAACCTAATGGTTTTGCATTATTTGCAGTAAATAAAAAAAAACTGCTTTACTGTAAAGCAGACTAAAATACCAAAATCACCACAACACTGCTCTGTTGCTTCTGATCTAGTTGTACTACATTTGACAGTTTCATTCTTGTTCAGTGATCAAAGTTAGCAAAATATGAAGCTTTTCGTCAATGAGGCCTTTCTTCAGTTGTGGTTGGAGCTATGGCGGGAAATTTTTCACTTTTAGTTGAAACATGAAACGTTTGAATCAGTTGCTATGGACAAATGTTGAATGAAAAAGTGCAGATGGGAGTTAGAAGGTATTACTGACCGAACATTGATTTAATCTATCTGCCATATTAATACAACTGGATTAAAAGAGAAATTCAAGAAATGCACTTCATAATGCCTCAGTGTTGGAAGAAATATGAGCACCAGGGAGTTGTATACTGTATACTGGTATAATTGTAGGAACTTAAGTAGAAATCAACTGAACTACTTTTGTATATTCTTGAAGACGTTTCACCTGTCATCCAAGAGGCTTCCTCAGTTGTAACTGACTAATGGGGTGTTACAGAATTCATGGTGATGAAGCTGCCAATTTACACAACAAAGGATATGAATCTGCCACGACACTGGTGATGTTAATGATGGCAAAACTTTCTGGGGAAAGACCTCTGTTATAGGTGCTTGATAAGAGGCGTTGCAGACCCCTCTTTTGTTTAGAGATGGCTTTTCTAATTTGACATAGATGGCTTCCTTTACTTGTCTCTCAAACTGTTCTCTCTGTCCAGAATGTGTACATTGCTGTCCTCAAAGGAATGTACCTTATCCTTCAGATGCAGATTCAGCAGCTGTTTGCTGAAATTTTCCAATCAGATTTTTGATCTATTAGACAATTTGTGGGACTGCAGGGTGGCGCAGTTGGTAGCACTGTTGCCTCGCAGCAAGAAGGTTGCCGGTTCGCGTCCCGGTGCCCCCACCTGCGTGGAGTTTGCATGTTCTCCCCGTGCAGCGTGGGTTCTCTCCGGGTTCGCCAGCTTCCTCCCATACACAGTCCAAAAACATGTTGAGGTTAATTGGTGATTCTAAATTGTCCGTAGGTGAGAATGTGAGTGTGCTTGGTTGTCTGTCTCTAAGTGTGGCCCTGTGATAGACTGGTGACCTGTCCAGGGTGTCCCCTGCCTTCGCCCTAAGTCGGCTGGGATAGGCTCCAGCCCCTCCGCGACCCTAGTGAGGATTAAGCGGTGTATAGATAATGGATGGGTGGATAGACAATAAAAAGGAAAGGAAAAAATAAAGGAATAAAATATGCAATGTCCTTTATCCTTCAGATGCAGGTGAACTGCTGACTCTTTTCCTGAGGAAATGGCGTATGGCTCCTGCGCTGAGCCATACGCTTGTGAAGCTGTTGTTTAGTCTTCCCCATGTACAAATCTATGTGCTCTTCTCTGCATTGGACTGCATATAGGTTCCCCACTTGTATGTTGGTGTTTTGTCCCTGGGGTGAACCAGTTTTTGTCTCAGACTGTTACTGGGTCTGAAGTGCACTGATATGTTATGTTTTTCAGATACTCCAGCTACATATGGGATAACAAAGTTGTTTCTCCTGTTCTTCCTTTCTTCACTGTTTGTAGTGGTGCTGGGTTTTTGAGACCTTTTTGTTGATTTGATAAAGGTCCCATTGGGAGAGGGGGACCGAGCACTGACCCTTGAGGAACCCCTGTAAATATGTTGTGCGGTTCGGACACTTCTCCCCTCCAGGATACTCTGAAGTATCTACCTGAGAAGTAGGACATAAACCAGGGGAGGGCAGATCCTTAGAATGAAGTGATTCTGTTACAAACAGGAGTGCAGTCTCAGTAGAGTGACCCCATTTAAAACCAGACTGACAGGGGTCGTACAGGTTGTTGTCACAGAGGAAGTAGAGGCTTTGGTTGAAGACAGTTCACTCAAGCATTTTAGACAGGAAAGGCAGTAATGGAACTGGTCTGTAGTTTTCAACCTGGGCTGGGTCGAGTGTAGTTTTTTTGAGTATTGGAGTGACTCAAGCATGCTTAAATGTAGCGAGGAACACACCCGTAGCAAGTGCGGAGTTGATATGTGTTTTTGCAGGGTTAAGTGCCGAGGAAATAGTTTATAAGAGGTTGGATGCTGTTGGGTCTCAGAGAACTGGTTACTGATTGCAGAGACTTCGTCCATAAAAAATGAGGCAAACATGTCTGCAGTGAGCAGAGTGGAGGGTGGTGAAGGAATCTCTTTTCAGGGCCTCATAGATACAGTCACTGAGTAAAGTTGTCATTTGCCTGTGGTAGTCGGCTGTGTTGACATGGTGCATCTACCTTTGTCGGCTGGCAAGATTGTGATGTTCTTGTCCTTGCTAAGAGACGCTACTCTCTCCTTTCCTGGGATGTTGTAAGGTTGGAAGGAGGGATTTTTGAATTTAGGGGGTTGCTGATATCTTTAACCCGAGCTGGCCTGCTTCTGCCTCTGTGAGATTATTGTTTCTGATGGCTGTTTGTGTAGCTGTAATGAGGAGCTGAAGGACCTACGATTACCATGACCTGGATAACTGAGAATCTCCACACACACTGTATAATTATACCAGAAATAGTTTGAAGTTCTTTTTTTTGTTTGTTTGTTTTAAAAAAAAAAAAAAAAAATGCCTGCAGGGCTCAGGCTTGTCAGAACGATGCATTTGGTAAAATACTGTGGTAAAAGGATTAAGGTTTTGTAAGAACACTTATTCTTACCTTTAGATTTCCTCCTTGGACAGAGTGGAGAGTGCAAAAGTACTTTGAGGGGTTTGGCACTGGCCTACTTTTAAGGAACCTTAAACAACATGAGTAAGACTTGGATTAGACATACTGCATTCAAAGACACATGTTCAGATAAGCACACAAGGCTACAGCATACTCACCCTCTGGTCTTGCAGCTCTTATAAAGAGCCAGCATTACAACTACGATGAGACACAAGGAGAATATCAGTCCACTTATTACCAGTGACATCTGATCCAGCCACCATTCTGAAACAGAGCGCTTCCCAGTTAAAATTAGAATTTCAGTGCCGTTAAGACATGAGAAAAGTTGGGTTGGCACTTGAACCACCTGAAAATGCAGTGGTTTGTTGCTGCTACCTTGATTATCTGATGTATCCGCCCTGTCTGTCACTCCCACCCAGGACGTCGCGGAACTCCAGCTGCTCCAATGGCTGCTAAGTCTATTAGTGGGCTTCACTCTCACTCTGACTTGCCAGAGCCCCTTTAGCTGCCAAACAGGTATTCTTAGCTCTTGTTCTTGTGTAGACAAAGTGCTGGCCTCCTGTTGACAGATAAAAATTTGGCAAAATACCAAAGTGTACATGTTAACAACTGGAATCTCAAATTATTTGCTACAGTAATTTACATCATGAGCAAGATCAGTTCTGTTGCATTTGAATTTCTATGACCTGTGTGTAAAAACATACACTACAAATAAAAGATAGAGCCATTGTCTCTGAAAGTGAAGCCAATACAAAAACGTAAAATGTAAGACCATTGATGGCCAATAGGGGCTGGCTCCAAAACATCTCTGGCTCCAATATATTATGTAGGATGTCAAATGAAAACAATTGTAATAGATAGAACAACAATTACTTGAATACACTCAAGTAACGTCATTATAGGTAGTCACCATCTTAGAACTCTCTTTTACTTCTTTTTTACAGCATCTTAGTAAGCATCATATAACACAGTGACGCCTACTGGTGTAGAGTATAAATGTTTACACAACACAATAGATTCCTACTCAAACAACATCCCTTTCTTTCATAAAGTGCTATGTCAAAAAAATGTCCCAAACATCATTCTGATTGTATTTGCTAAATTCAGTCATTTAATTCAGTGCTCTGCTGGTTCTTTGGAAAATAATATAGAAGGAATAATTCATGTTGTCATCATGTGTTGGTACAATAGGTAATAACTATTCCGCTGCTTTAGCTTCTATTAATCAGTTTTTGGCTGAATTTTGACTTTTTCTTTGATTATTTGTATTAACAGACCATTAAGGGATTTTGATATCAAGTTTGGTAAGCAACTGTTTATTTTCTAGATGGCTTTCAATTTTAATACAAAAAAATTGTATGTAATTTTAACATTGAGTATAATGTGTACAATGCATCCCAATAGTTAATTCATTTTTTCCTGCATGCTTTGACTACAGAATGGGAGACATTCCAGTTTAGCACACTTGAATTATGGATGCACCTTGCTAACCAAACTACCTGGATACCTAGATACCTGTCTAACAAGAAACTGTTACCATAGCTATTAAATGAAGCATGACAAAAATTTTAAATAACCAGCACTAAATTAACAACATTTAATTTGTGTTTTTGTCACATGTGACCAAGTTAAAGTATATTAGGTTGGTGTGACGCTGCATCCCTATGTAAGTTGATAAAACTGTCCATGGTGGGGGTTCAGGTTTATGTAACTTTTAGTGAATAAATGCTTCCATGGTATCCTTGGTTCTCTGAGTGAAGAGACTATCTCTTCACCCAATTACATATTTCATATGTATGAGGAATGACCCCCCTGCTCATCAGGGTATGTGGATATTTCTTTAAGACACACTGGCTTCAATGGTCATGCCCCAGAGGTTACCTATAAAGCACCTGTGTGAATTCACTGATGGTTCGATCAAAATGTGTCTCTGAGCGGCCAAAAGAGCTGGAGAGACTCAGAGAAGAAAGGTTACAATGTAACCATACAATCTCTCCACCCAGTTAAATATTTCACATGTATGGGCTAACTCTTTAACACACACTGTGAGGGGATGGCAGCCCAAACAGCTGATAAATGACAAATTAACTATTTGCAAATGTATACTTAGTTATCAATCATACAAACATATCAATCAGGTGGAGGTGTTGTACAATGCAAAAAAACAGGCCTGAGAGGCAAAAGGGCTGCTTAGGCCACTCCCCAAGATGCAAGACTGACCCCAGGAACAGAGTAAAAGGCCAAGATGAAACAGCCAAACCTGTGAACAGAGTTGCCACTCAGATCAACTAGCAAGCTGTTAAGCTGACCAAGGGAGACAACGAAGATAGACAGAGGTCTGGTCCAGTGATCCACTGATGAGTCACACTCAGTGCTACCCTGGAGGAGGGACTGGCTGCTATATTCAGGTAATGATTTTGAGAAACAGTCAACTGAGATGACCACATGGCTACTGCATATACAGCAGTGAGAGAGGCTCCTTGTTAGGGTAACCACACCACAAAGTGAGTGTACCCAGACTGTGAACACACATTTGCTGAATGGTGTCCACAATCCAGCAGGACAGCTTAAATTTCTAGTCTTCTCCATGGTCCGGAATGTTGTCAGGTAAAATGGCGAGAAACCAAACTTTATAATGTTAAACCACTGCCCCGAGCCTTGCATGTGTTCCAAGACAATAGCCACATTGACAGTTATTCATTCCTCTGAGCCCATACAGACCAGCTAAGGGAGGGGGTAGATGTCCACTGTCAGCTGCCCCAGCTGCACTTGTCATGGACTATCACTGAAAGCGTTAGCTGGCTACCGCACCAATATGGTTCAGGGGCATTCAGATGTCGTGACAATATTACTCCAGCCTAGCCAGCATCACGCTGGCTAGGCTGGAGTAATATTCTCACACAAACTGTTGGTGGACAAGAAGGTCTGCATTCAGTGAAGGTCCTACCGAGTGTGTTGGCTCCATGAGCAATACAATGGCATGCACAGCTGCAACAGATAGCTCTTTTGTAGATGCTGACACTGTCAGAGGAAAGTGTCCTTACCTGCTGCTTAGCCGACTGGGAAGTTTGTGCTCAGCAGGGATCCCCCCCAAGTGTACTAGCTTGTGGCACTGCAATGCACTGGAAAGATCACAGTGATAGTGAATGCCTCTCTTTATTTTGAGGGATGCTGTCTTGACTAGGCCAGAACAGAATATACTTTCAGCTCACGAACCTGAAGCAATACGATAATAGTGGGAATCACATCCAGGAATCGGAGGATCTGCTGGCCCAGTTTTATGGATTGTCAGGAGGGAGGTGGGGACTTGGAGGACCCCTGAGCCTTTGTAGTTGCTCTTCCTACTCTGACTCGTTGGCGATTACCATGCCTCTAGGAAGCATCCAGCCATGGCCTCTTGCCTGCCTATGAAGACCACCAGACACCTCTGATGCACATGGAGGAATGACATGAAGGGCTGCTGGAAGTTCATCCACCATACTGAAACCCCCAGAACCTTCCAGCCTCTGATGATACAAGTGATGAAGGTAAAGGGATACAATAGCTCCAGTGTTTGCCAATTAGGCCTGCATAGCCATAGTTTCGCCTTGCAAGCAGGCCATCCATAATTCTGCAATTCCTGTTAGGGTAGGTGGCTGTACCCAGAATGGAACTGCTGGTAAAATTCTTTACACACCAAGTCTCAAAAGTGAGGCAGGAGAAACACCTGTGCTGGAGATGCATTTCCACATCCTCCTCAACCTGAGAGGGAGGTGGGCTCCATGAGGTTGTCAGGGATGCTGACATCCAGAACACTGGTTGCCTTGCCAACTACCTCATCAAAATTGCTGCATACACGATAGGTCATTCTCTTTGGAAGAGTAGATAGTTTGTATATCCACGTCCTCCTCTTGTTCTTCTTCCTCCTCTGCCAACTCCAACCCTGGAGTGGGAATAGGAAGGGTGCTATTATGAGGGTTGAACTGCTGTGGACTCCACAGTGGGGGTGGGCCAAGGGCCTTTCCAAGGCCCTCAACACTCCTGTTTTTCTTTAGTGGCATCCATCCTTCTTCCAATTTTCACTCTGTGAACTGCAGAAAAATAGAAGTAACCTGCACACTTTACAAAAAATACTTGGCTTCTCTGGTACGTGCAAGCATTTAAAAAACAGTCCATACAAGACTGTGAGCTCTCTCCGGATAATAGTGCATGTTGGTGAGTCAAACACAGCACACACCTATCATGGTCATCGTCACAACCCACAAAAAATTATCCTGGTGGCTTGCCAAAGTTGAAAAATCTCACAGTCACACCTTTTCAGGCGTCGGGGACTGGCCACAAAGATGCTCACTTCCTTGTGTAAAATCACGTATCTTGGAATTTAGATAGCTTCATGCTAAGTTAACTTTGTGGAGTAAGTTGCCTAAGCCATGGAGGCGATCTGGGACTTAGAGAGCTGAAATCATGACATCAGACATGTTAAGGGGAGAGAGAGATAGAGAGTAGACATCCACTGATAGCACACGTGAGGTCTGCACTTAACACAAACTACCAACAAGCGCTCTGCAGCAACACGCTTTAGTGGCATTAAGGCCTCGGCAGAGAGATGCCTTTACAACTTGAGAAAAGTTTCTTCACCAGCTCTTTCGCTGACTGTGAAGTTGGCTCTTAGCAGTGATCATGCACATTAAACCAGTAACCCACAAGCAATTATCTGGTAAGAAATCACAATCGCGATAAACGCTAGATGCCGGCTCAATTGGGCTGGAACTTAGTTTTTTCTGCTATTAGCCAGTGTGAAAGTCTTTGCCCAGCACGGGTCCCACCAAACACATTAGCTCATGAATTCAATTCAATTCAATTTTATTTGTATAGCGCATATTTACAACAAGTCATCTCATAGCGCTTCACAAAGGCAGAAACAGAAACACCCAACAATCCAAAACATCTGGATTCCCTATAAGCTTCAGCAGTCCGCAAGCAGTCCGCAACAGTGGGAAGGAACCGAAAACCCCCACAGGGGAAAAAAAAAACCTCCGACAGAACCAGGCTCAGGGAGGGACGGCCATCTGCCTCGACCGGTTGGGTGGAATTGTAAGCAATATTTTGGTATTTGGGATTACAACCACAGGATCCAGAAAGATAAAGAAATAAATGCAACAAAAGCTGTCAAAAAAAAAGAAAGGAAAAAAAAATAGCATATTACAACTGTAACTTTCTATGTTGTCATTAGGTAGTACTGAACACCTGCCACATCTCTAGAGTTAAACAGGTGAAACAAGTTTATCGTATACATACAATCTGTTCACAGGCTGTGGTGATGCTATATAATGTAGACCATAGACTGGATGTTGTAGATGTTAAATTATGCTGGCTGGGTAGTAATAATATAAGCCAAAACATTTACTGCATTTTGTAAGGAGATCCTCAGTTCACACTGGTAGAGAAATATGAGGCTTTAGCTATGGGTTTTTTAAAAACATTTTTTGGATGTGTTCTTTTTAATTAATTAAACTATTGTGATTACTGGACAACACAATTGCCCCATAAACTGGAGTACCGGTTATGTCATTGTGATGTCAAGTGTTTGATGCGGCGTTCTAGTTTTGATGTGATGCCATATTTTGTGTTTGATATTTATTTATTTATTTATTTGACCTTTATTTTACCAGGTAAAAATGTTTGAGAACCAGTTCTCATTTGCAAACATGGCCTGGATATGACTTCTGTTTTGACTTGTCTTTAATGCTTATACTAAATCAGTGAATGGAATATGTCATTATTTATTAATTTTAAAAATATATATATATATATTTATTTATTTCCACTGAACAAAAATATAAATGCCCCATGTCAAATAAAAGAGTTTTATAAACATTTGGGTCATGCAATATATAGAGAAACTCAAAATATATCTTCAGTAATTACTGATCTTCATATCAGCATTGATAACATCGTGGTGTGGCCATTTGTAGCGGATTGACAGTCCTTTGAACATGATAGGGGTCAGGTTGAGGAATTTGATTTTTCAGTATCTTGCGTGTCCGCCAGCTGCGTCTCTCAGAGCAACACATCTTCTTTGCATGGAGTTGATCAGATTGTCTATGGTGGCCTGTGGAATGTTATTCCATTCCTTCTGGAGTGCCACATGGAGCTGACCCACATTGGCTGGAACTGGAACACAGTCCCGGACACGCCTATCCAGAACATCCCAAAGATGCTCTATTGAGGACATGTCTGGCGAATATGCAGGCCAGTCCAGAACTTCAATGTCCTCTGTTTGAAGGAATTCCATGCAGATGCGGGCAACATGAGGTCGGGCATTGTCATGTTGAAAGGTGATGTCATGCTGGCGCACAAACGGCACAACAATTGGGGTGAGAATCTCGTCCTGATATCTTTGTGCATTAAGGTTCCCTTCAATGAAGTGCAATGGTGTTCTATGCCCATATGTGATGCCTGACCACACCATAATGCCACCACCTCCATGGGCAACCCTGGGCATAACATTTGAATCTGCAAACCGTTCACCCACATGTTGCCAGACACGCTGTCTTCCATCTGCAAGATACAGCTGGAACCTGGATTCATCCGTGAACATCACTCTTCTCCAGCGTGCCAAGGGCCATTGGACATGTGCATTCGCCAATGCGAGTCGGTTCCTACACTGGACAGTAGTGAGATCCAGACCACGGTGAGGGCGGCGAGCATGCAAGTTGGCTTCTCGTAGGCGGTTACGGACAGTCTGAGGTGTGATGCGTCTGTTGTGCAGACTAATAGTCTCATCAGCTGTGCGTGTCTTAGCCAATCCTGCAGATGGACGAGCCGGATATGGCGATCTTGTGCTGGAGTGGTCACACGTGGCCGACGAGGATGAGGTCGATTTGCAGTAGTGCCAGTCTGTTGGAAACGAACTCTTAAATGGCCTATGGTCTGATAATGGACATTGAGCCGTGCAGCTACTCCTCCATAACTTGCGACTTCTGAGGCATTATGACTTGTCACAAAATTTGACATTTTGGGGTGGCCTTTTATTGTCCCAAGTCTAAGGATTGTCCAGCTGTTGCTCATTTTGTCTTATCAACCACTGGACATGCCTCACCCATGTACTGAGTAAAAAAACAACTCACTGAGTAATGCTTACTGACAGCAAGTTGGATTAAAAATTATACACAAATCAAGAAAAATATTACTTTTCTACAATAAAATGTCAGGAAATGCTCATTTACAGTTGTTAATTCCACATGGCAACAATATTTGACATGGGGCATTTATATTTTTGTTCAGTGTATTTATTGTCGCAAATACACCACCGCCACATGTCTCCACCTTCACAGCAGAGTCCTGCACTGGGTTGGGTACTCGCGAGTACGAAGCTAAACTACAGATAACTATCTTGCTCAGTCTGTACTCTTTGGGGGTTTAATGCGCCGTGAAGGTAAACTACAGATAACTATCTTGCTCAGTATCTACTCTTTGGGGGGTTTACACGATGTTAATTACTCCTGAGCCTTGAAAGTGACATCCCGTCCAGCACCAGGCTTCAGGTCAGAGAGACAGAGGAGGGTCGTCTTGGAGAATTGGGCAGCAACTTACCGGAGAAAAGGTAGACTTATTAGCTTAAGATAGCTCAGAATAGATTTTACAAGTTAAATAGACTTTCGCAAAATATTGATGGCCTGCTAACGTTACGTAGCATATTGGTATCTTAAGTTAATTGGGCCCGGTGCCAACTCAGTGTCGCTAACATGAGTAAACTAACTGATGCCGTTAAACTGACATTTACACACCGTGATGGAACTGCTGACTGCATCTTCAGATGAGCTTGTTCAAATATTTCTCTAAGAAGAGAACACCTGATGGAGATGATGCTAGTCAGGTATCATTAGCCTTTTACTGACTCATAAATGATGATGTTAGGTAAAAAATAGTGTTCACACTATAATCAGGTGTGATGTGAGTGTAAATTATCTAACGTTAATGTTTTATGTAATCGTATAAGACAAGTAACATTAGGCAGGGAGGAGCAGTGGGCAGCAGCAGACATTTAATAATATATCATCGGACACAAACTAGAAACAATTTTAAATGATTAGGGTGTAGGAAATTGAGAGAAACAATGTCATTATTGTTTCTATTTGTAGGTGAAGACTGACTAGAGAAACAGGCTGCAGGGGATCAGCTTGCAGCATGTATGCTGCTGTGCCTCTCGGAGAATTTCTCAACAGAGCCTTATAGCCCTTCTATAAAAAACCCAGAAAAATTAACTGCTCTGAGCCTCGGTCCAAACTTTGCCACTGATTCTACAGTCCCATCAAGAAATTAGTATTTATAGCTTTTATTTTTATTCATTTAATTTTATTGTTTTATTTTTATTTGTTTTATTTTTTTTTACTTTCAGCCTTTAAAAAGTGATTTTCAACTGGCCATTCAATGAATAGGTTGTAAAAGTAAAATCTACTGTCAGGTGTCATTTGTTTACGCTGACACGACTCCCCGGATAGCTTGCCCCCGATGCTGAAAAAAATCCTAAAGGAAACACTGCACTGTGTGATCTATTTTTTAGCGTCACTGTGAAAAATAGCAACATTTAATTAACATTTCTATAATTTATGTTTAAGCATTCCTAAAATTATGCATACATTAATGGATTAAATTGACTAATAAATAACATAAAGCACAATTTACAGTAAAATGTAAACCATTACCTATCACACGACAAGTCTGCATAATGAAAAGAGACAGTTGAATCTCCATCGCAACATACATGTAATTAATGAGAATGCATTTCAGCAAAAACTGGTAAACATCACCATCAACAATAAAAAAAAATGCAGTTGTCCGTACTGTCAGTGAATAAAGTCCTGACTAAATGAATGAAAGCTGCATTTATAATTAAAATGAACACAGTGCAGTTTATATGTCTACTGTAATGCCTGGTTGAAAAAAACCAAAAAAAAACATGTTAAGTTTTGCATTTCAGCTTCGTGATTTACTTCAGCCACTATGAAAGGAATGAAGGGCCAACCTAAATGAAAGTTTTTGAAACAAAATTTTCACCAGTTACAACCTCTCTCTAAAACAGTGATGCTCTTAGGACAGCACACTTGTAATCATTGTCAACTATGAGCTCTGTTTTAACCTATGCACAGGATGGTAAGACTAGGGCGGTACAGAAATAACACAGCAAGAACAGTCGAGGGCGTAGGGAATGAGGAAAAGCATAGCTGGTAAGACTGAACAATGTTATGGCTGCAAATAGTGAAATTTTAAAAATACTGTTTCAAAAAAAAAAAAAAGCACTCATCACATAAGCCATGGCACTGTGGGGCATGTTCGGGAATAAAAAACATAACTGAGATTCAACCTCAAGAGATTGTAAACTATCATACATGACACATCACTGTTGGATGACACTGGCTTTTAGTGGACTCAGTAAAACTGTTTAATGATGAAATCAGCTCCTCTGTGCAAAAATAGCTGAAGAGCAAATCTTATGTGCAGGTAATGCATTAGGTTGCCATTTAAACAGTGAACATGTGTGGCCATAATACTGTTCACAGACCTATTAACTTTGTCAGTATTCTCTTGGCTGGCACTCGCCTTTCATCTACATCTTTATGTGATGCCAGAGAAGATGTTTGTGTTATCTTTGTGTTTGGCTCCTGCAGGTGTAGGTGGTGCATGTCATTGAGATTGACACTTGAGAGATCCCTTCCATCACTCTAACTGCAATGAATGAAGAGGACTTCTGACACTGCTCTTTTTTTTGTAGGGACTGGCTAAAGAAGGTGTAAAGTTTCCTCCACCTCACATTACCCCAGGTGAACCAATGGAATGTTCCCCATGATCTCCATGGAAAAAAAAGGAGTCCTGTTTTACATTAAAAGCAATTGATAAACAACTCAAAAACTGCTGTTCACCTTTGTGGTACTGCATGGGTGCGCACAAAAATCATACTATATTAATTTAATGGGAAATTTTGAGCACATTTTTATCTGCTGATCTGCTGGCTTATGAATGAACGGCATGAGATGACAACAGTAAGCAAAACTGTAACATTATTCTTCTATTGAGATTGATCAGCTACAACTACAGGTACCGTTGTTGTGTGGGATGGCCATGGTCACACCATCAACAGAGAAACCCATTAGAGGGCTACACATATACTCATACAACTGGTAGTGTATTCTTGCCCCAATGTAATTCAAATTGTAAGCTCAACGCATATGTATTGTATTTTTTTAAATAAAATCTCCATGAATACATGTGCACTTACCCTCCAAGTCTGGTTTTTCTGCTTGACCTGAACTTGGAATTCAAAGGATGTGAAAAACCTTGAGACAGGGCGACCTGGTCTCCACGATATCACGGTGTCATTTGCATTGCTGCTGACATTGGGAACACCTGGAGGATGCATTTTAACTTCATGCACAAATGCGCACACACACAAACACACACGCACACACACACACACACACACACACACACCCATACATATGTGTAAGAAAGGTAATAGATTCCTTTTTAGCAATACATTAAACATTTAATCAAATTTGCATCATCTTGTTTTCATTTTTATTATTATTATTATTATTATTATGTCTTTAAAACAAGATATGGGAATAACTGTTAAAGAGACAAATCACTGATATAAATATCACTTACTGTGATTGTGTGGCTTATAGTTCTCCAGGTTCTCCACCAACGTCCCATTACAATTCATACTGATGTTTGGCATTACTTCAAAAGCGTAGAACTCCTGGAGGGACCCATTAAATCGTTAAAATATGAGCACAGCAATTGTATGGGTAATTTAACAACAAAGGTCTATGGATTTCTGTTTTTGTTTATGACAGTAATTTTGATGCTATGGCTGACAAAAACACAACCAAATAATAATCAACAGGATAAGATCCATGGTATGTTTGCATGCTCTTATGGATAATAGATGCTAGAGACTTACTCTATTTTCAAAGACAAAATTGCAGCCTGGAAGAGAGTTTCTGTGTTGTTTCAGCTTGCACCTTCGGCTAGTTAAAAAAAAAAAATAATAAAAGCAAAAAAAAAGAATCACTGATTTACTCCAGGGTGAATAATGGTAAAAACATTTTCACATCCCAACACACAGTTGAAGACAAAATTATTATTATTTTTAGTTAGTTTTTTTTTTTTTTTTAATTCCCAAGTGCTATTAAACAAATCAAGGAACTTGTAACACAGCTTTTCCAAACATCCAAGTTTTATTTTGGATGCTAAAATTATTTTACTTTGCAAACAGACACAAAATTATTTTACAAAAACCAAGAACTATCAGGGTCAAAATTATTAGCCCCCTTAAGAACTGACCTTTTTACTGAGCCACAGCACAAACCACTGTTGTGCAATCATGTTCTTTAACTTTGTAATGCTCACAGCTTGTAAATGGTCACTTATTTTATCCAAAGCGCTTTACACTGTTTTCTCAATCACCCATTCATACACCAATGGCACGGAGCTGCCATGCAAGGTGCTGCCTGTCATTGGAAACAACTTTGGGTTCAGTGTCTTGCCCAAGGACACTTCAACTGAGGAGGGCCGGGGGATCGAACCGCCAACCTTGCGACTGGAGGACAACCCGCTCTACCACCTGAGCCACAGCCGCCCCAGCTTGTAATCAGTGGGGGTTGTCCTAAACTTTACTCACCCTATAAAATCTTCATTAAGGATTTGAGCTGTCACTTGAGAAAGCATCATGCCAAAAACAAAAAAAATCCGTTTAGACTTGAGAAAAAGAATTGTTGATGCTTACAAAGTAGGAGAAGGGTATACAAAGTTATCACAGTGTTTCCACGTGTCATGAAGTGGAGCGAGAAGTCTCATCAAGAAATTCAAAGAGAGCCAGGGTCCATGCCAGAAGACCATCAAATCTGGAGAAGCTGGAGAGACTTGCCAAAGAAGAATGGGCTGGGATTCCTCAGGAGATGTGTCAGAGACTTGTTACAAACTACAACAAATGACTGCAAGCTCTTATCCAGCGAAAAGGATACACAACTGACTATTAGCATCAAGGGGGCTAATAATTTTGTCTGCAATTGTAAATGCCTTATCTCTGTAGTTAAGCAAGTATTCATAATATTTTGGCAAGCAGTTATAAGTACAATATCTAAAATTTCTTACATAATTAGTTCAGATTGTTCAATGTTGTTCTTCGGCTTCCCGCCTTTCTTCACACCAGAGATCCAACAATTCACGTCAGGACCCCCAGAAGAGCTATTCCATGTACACCTGACATTGTTGACAAAGTCATTTGTGCAGAAGAGTTCTTGAGTGACAGATATAACAGACAAGAGAAAAGAGATTAGGATGGGATCTCTTTATCAGCATCACTGGACTTCAGATTTAGATAGGCCGATGATCCATGTATTCACTTAGAAAACATTTGCAAGCCGAAGGATTTAGTTTTTCAACTTTGGACAGTAGCATAGATTCCGAGAAGCAATGTATAAATGGCCATACCAGTTGAACCTTTGTGAGAGTGTGTTGCATGCACTGAAAACAGAATCATCAGGACATAGAAGGAGCACAGCATCTCCATGGCTATGACTGCAATATGACTGTAAACAGGGAGGAATCATGTACTGTACATTAGAATGACAGTGTTCTCAAACTGGAACAAAAAAAAATGACAAAAACTTTGGTATATATGTTTGCTCTATCATATACCTACACAGCTATAGCTATATCATGTTTTAAGATAATGTGCTTTCTCGCTAATCAAATAAGGAACAATATTGATTTAAAGACTACAAAACACTAAAATACACACTATGTATTTAAGATTGTTACAGGAAAATTGCACATTATTCTCTTTATTCTTATATTATTGTTATTTTTAACAGGATTAGTTTTTAAAAATTAAAGTAGTACCTCATCACTCTTGGTAGCAGGTCAACAAGAGGAAACACATTGTCGTCTCTGGGCCGATGACAAGATTTCTTTTTACTTCTGTATCTTTCTGTCCCTTTCTATATGTACTCTTGTGCAATCTCTCTCTCTTTCTGTCTCTCTCTCTCTCTCTCTCTCTGTTTCTGTCACTCACATTCATCCTCATTCTCACCTCTCGTGTTTTGTTTCGAGTGCCCAGTGACATTTTCCACTTGAAACCACAGCTTGTGTCTGAGGCTTACAGGAAACTTCTTTAAGCGGTGAGTGATAGCGAGAAAGAATGAGTGTGTGCGTGTGTGTGTGCATGTGTGTGTGTGTGTGTGTGTGTGTGTGTGTGTGTGTGGTGGGACGAGGGTGGGGGATGACAGCGAAAAGAGCACCTCCTGCTCACTAGTAGCAGCCGTTAGCTGGGCCCCATCACATTTTGTTTAAGATAATAATTGTACTGGAAGCAACAAATTTAGAACAACATCACATCCTGTTATAATCAAAATGTCAAGTGGATTGTATAAACAGAAACTTGCACAATATGTTATTAAATTGTTTAAGTTGTCAAATGAAATTCAGCTTAAAAACAAAATTCATATGATGATAATAAAGATGCTAAAGCTACCACATTTAGAACCATTAGGCTATTTTAAATCCAAACACTTATACACACACACGCATGCACACACAAAGCTGTACAGCGCCAAAACCACCACTGTTACAGCTGCAACCACTGCAGACACATATGGTACATACTACTAAAATTCCTCCACAAAAACAAAAGGGAAATAATGTTAAAGCGGCAGGAAGTTCTTCAGTCAGTGGTCAAGAAACATTTCATTTCTGCAGCCACTTACGTCAAGCGATTTCAAGGTATGTTCATTAACTGTTAACTGTATGTACATGATGTAACTGAATTGCAAACTAAAAATACAGTCTTGGGTTTATATAAAATTTTTAGACATCTAACATCAGTACAATTTGATGTGTGGCAAGTATGGTAGGTCAAGGTTCCAATGGTGACGTAAACTCACAAAAACTGGCATGCATAAGCATGGCGGACCGAGTGATGGTTCTGTCTGGACCCGTGACCAATCTCTGATAAATTCACAAGAACAGATTTTCATGGAGCAATTTTTCGTACGGTCGTGGCTATAGACAGCGGGCGCTGCCACTCCAGTTAATATGGCAATAGCTCCACTCAGTCGAGCCAATCAAATCATTTGGTTACCCAGCACACAGCTCGCTGTCGCTGCCACTTTGCGCTTGCCTATACAGCAGAGCAGAGAGGAAGAGACAGTGACGACAGCATGGCTTGCATGAAAAGAAGGAAGGTTGATGAGGAAAACTGCTGCTTTGAAGAAGAGTGGACGGAGAAATGTATGTTCATCTTCCGTCAGGCAGTTTACAACCAGTGTGCCTCATATGCCCTGAAAACGTGGCATTAATTAAAAGTAGTGACGTGAAGCGCCACGATGAAACAAAGCACAGCTCGTTTGAGCAAAGTTATCCCCTGAAGTCCAAGCTGAGGGCAGGCAAAATAACCGAGCAGCAAGCCCTGTATGACAGATCTATCCGACTCATCACGCATACATTTACAGCCCAGCAACGTGTAAATGAAACCTTTTATTTATTGGTTTTCTGAGGATGTTGACTTTTTTTTACTTGAAGTGGAGGCCTTCAGTTCTTTAGGTTGGGTCCTCTTTAATTTAAGAGATAAAAGGGTTATTCGGCTATGTTTGCACTTTTTTAAATGTATTTTATTCTGAGGTTTTTGTTTTCTCTAATCTGAAATGAAGGCCTAATTTTTTTTGCCTGGGACTACTTATATATGGTAAAAGAGCTACCTGTGCACTCAGTTAAACATATTCTGCACTGAAAATTGACAATTGAAACCATGAAAATGTGGCCATAGGGGAGGGCTATAAGACAAAAACTGGACTTCCGTTCAGACCTTTTACTTGGAGGAAATTTTAATAACTGGACCTCAGTGACTTTTAATTGAATACCCCTGGTCTATACATTGTAATTATATGTGCAAAGTTAGAGGTTAGAAGATGGCACGTTGGGCCTGGATTCACCACTTATATGGAAGAAGAGGAGCAGAAGGTGAGGGCAAGGCTTGTGCAACCAAGTGAACTGTGTCATTCAAGTGGCCTCTATTTGATAAAATCTGTGGGTGCTAATTGTTAATTGTTGTCATCCAACACAGCTACAATGAGGAGGGGAAGACAATACAAACCTGACAAAACCAACAGAAACCTTGAAATGGCTTTGGAGGATTTCCTGTCTGCAAATAAATAAAATGTAAATCCATTGTTCTCTCCCCCAGTTGTACACAGCCTGGACCAAGCCTTGCCTTTCACGAGGCATTGAATGGTTTGCCAGAAACTCTTCTGGCCAACCTGAAGTCCTTTTCAATAGCCTCTCTGAGCTCTGCCAACACTTGAGTTTTTGCTTCCCAAACTGTTGCAGCTGCAGCCCTTTTGGCTTCAGGAGACCCCCATGTAACCTCCTCCTCTTTAGCCTTCCTTTACTGCCAGTGTCCACCAGCGGGTTTTCAGATTGCCACCCTGACAGTTACTGTGATGTTTTAACCATAGGTCCTAACAGCCGCTTCTTCAATGGAGGTTTTGAACATGGCCCACTTGGATTCCAAGTATCCAACCGTCCCAAGAAAGCACGAGAGATTCTCTCAGAGGTGAGAGTTAAGGACCTCAGGGACAGGGGCCTTTGTTACCCTCATTACACATTTGGGTTTACGGTTTACGCCATCTGATCCAACTCACCACCAGGTGCTGATCAGTTGACAGCGCTGCTCCTCTCTTTGCTATTCGAGACATATGGCTACAGGTCTAATGATTCGACTACAAAGTCAATCGTCAACCTTTGACCAAAGTTCTTATGGTACCAGGCACACTTGTGAGCTACCTTATACTCGAATATGGTGTTTGTTATGACCAATTCATGACTAGCACAGAAGTCCAATAACAGAACACCACTGTTTCAGATCAGGCAGCTGTTCCTCCCAATCACCCCCTTTTTAAGTTTCTCTAGCATTGCCCACATGAGCATTCAAGTACCCCAGGTGAACAATGGAATCCCTGGGTGGAACCCCAACCAGGACAACACCCAGAGACTCCAAAAAGGCAGAGTAATCTGAGCTGCTCTTTGGTGCATAAGCACTTCCTGGCTGATGTCCTGAGATGTTGCTTCAATATTTCCACATAGTGTTCTTCCCTCATGATGCCATCTATTTTGTGAAGTGCATCAGTCCCTCTTGCAACAAAATACCCTCATAACATGATGCTACCACTCCCGTACTTCACAGTTGGGATGGTGTTCTCATGCTTGCAAGCTTTCCCCTTTTTCCTCCAAATGTAATGATGGTCATTAAAGCCAAACAGTTCAATTTTAGTTTCATCAGACCACAGAATATGTCTCCAGCTCTCATCAGTACAGGACTGGTTTCACTGTGGATAATGACACTCTCTTACCCGCTTCAGCCAGCATCCTCACAAGGTCTTTTGCTTTTGTTCTGGGGTTGATATGCACATTTCACACCAAAACACTTAATCTCTGGGACACAGAACCAGTCTCCTTCCTGAGCGGTGTGATGCCTGGACATTCCCATGGTGTTTATACTTGCGTTTAATTGTTTGAACAGATTAACGTGGAACCTTCAGGCATCTGGAAATTGTACTCAAGGATGAACCAGACTTGTGGAGGTCCACAACTCTCTTTTGATATGTTGGCTGATTTATTTAGATTTTCCCATGTTGTCAGGAAAGGAAGCAGTGTGTTTGAAGTGTGCCTCCAATTAACCTCCAAAGCCATGACATCGTCATCTGGGCTTACCCAAATAGTTTAAAGGCATAGTAATCTTAATGTATGTAAACTCCTTATTTTGGCATTTAGCAAATAGAAATAATTTTGGTAGTCCTTACTAACCTAAAACAGGACAAGTTTAGTCAGACAGTGAGAAAAAAAAGATTGTGTATTTTTACACAGTGTATGCACACTCCTGGTTTCAACTGTAAAAAAAAACAACTTTATCATATTTTATATATCTTCTTTCAAATAAAAGATGCAATTAACATGTCGACTTCCAAAATACAGCTTGAACACAACAAATGCCACAACAATGTGGTCTTAAAGGTAGTAGAAAATGTCAGTGTTTTGCAAACTTTAATTCTGTCTAAAAACAATCTACAAGCATGAATACAGAAACATAGTGCTTATTCTGACAGAAGCAAATCTTAGTGTATTTTACTCACTCAGTGTGAAACCTGTGCCTGTTTGGATGAACACAGAGCTGATATCCTGGCAGGAATTGAAGAAAGACACACACAAAGCTCTTCCTCAAAAACTCTCAGTCTCTCAGTTTTTATGGCAGTCAGGCTTGAGGAAGCTCACCTCACACAGGAATGTCATGGGACCTTTTTGATTTAGCTACAAGTTCAGCTCCGTGGTAGCTAGCTTTAAGGGCTTTCTCATTTACCTGTGTGGTTTTTCACATAAATGTTGCCTGTTTCTCTGTGTGTCCACGGAGGCGAACAAAATAGTCCACATTCTTATTTTGAAGCAAAGGGTGTTCCGTTTGGAGATGGTGTTTAAGCTTGCTTGGTACCATAGCACTGTTGGATAGCTTTTCATCACACACCAAGCACAACGGATTCAGTGTTGTTGCATCCCCGGTGAAAGTAAATCCAAATGAAAGAAGACAACTCCCACTGTATTGCCTCAAGCTCACTGTCTTTGCTTTCTTTTGACCTCCACTCATACTAGGGCCTTCATCTGGGTCTGAATTTTGTCCAGGGCCCAGTTTGGAGTTGGCATTTTTCCTCTTCAAAAAACTTCTCCATCACTGTCACTGCAGTCTTGCAAACCACAATGCTGTTACTGCCACCTGTTGCATTCATGCATCAATAATTCTCTTGTCTCAACGTACAATGCAATAACTACCTGCTGCCATCTAGTGATATGGAAGAGTATTACATGATTATGCTGCCAGTCACTACTACAGCACAGACACTGGACAATGGCATATTATTTGCAGATAATAATCAATTTGTCTTCAAAAAACATTTTTAGACCAATCAGGTGAAATTGGATAATTTCCCACGGCACACCTGACGATCTCTCATGGCACACTAGTGTGCTGTGGCACAGTGGTTGAAAAACACTGCTCTAGGACAGTGATTTCCTGTCATCAGAAAAGAGGACATTAAACCAGTGAGGAAAAATCCAGTTCTATTTCTCCTTAGCCCAGGTGAAATGCTTCTGATGTCATCTGAAGGAGTGGCTTGATATTAGAAATGTGATAGTTGTAGCCTCTTTCCTGAATACTGCACTGTCACGCCTTGGGAACCTCTCCAAAGTTCTTGAATCTACTTTTGTTTACAATTCTCTCAAGGCTGCGGTAATCCCTGCTGCTTCCAGTTAATTTTCCATTAAAGTGCCTCTTCACAGCACTGCCAAAGAACTTTTCACGATATTCTAATTATTTGAGATGCGGTTGTATATATGAACACACACACACACACACATATATATATATATATATATACACAACATTGGCTTCTCACGTGTCTTTGCCAGTTCTGCTTGTTTTTGTTCAAGTGAGGTCATGTTAGTCATACAATAAACCGCTAGAGATGTGAGGTGGTGAGAGATGAGGCAAAACAAAAGGTGTTAAATATCTGTAGAATGTCAAGCCTAACATCCAAAAACATGATATCAAATTTCACCTCTGGACAAAAATCAAACAGGAAAAAGAATTTCTCTAAAAATGATTATCAGGCAGCACCTTGTTGTCCAAAAAACATTTGAGTGCACTTAAGCACCAATGTATTTTGCACAGTTACTGTGTAGTAATTTGCTATAAATTGCCATGCTTTGGTTTACAAGTGACCAAGAACCCCATAAAATACTGTTTGTCAGATGTTCTACAGGATACAATCTCTCAAAATGCAGTCTTTCAACTATCCAATGAAAAATAACTTTGAAATTCTGCAACAAAAACAGCAATGCTTTGCAAAGGTCTACATTCTCAGTTACAGGACAGATATGAAACCAGTCTAAGCAATTTTTTGATTGTGGAAAATAAAGGAAAAATCTGTACTGAATAAACAGATGATACTATCAATACATTGACTCCACCCAAAGAGAAAATTACAGAATAAACTTTTACTTCACTACATTCCACAAGTGTTGCCATTTGTTTTGTCATTTATTATACCACACACAACTGTTAACTGGCTAAGACAATATAAAACATACCTTTCACAATTTTTCAATATTTCTATTATGTACATACGCTCATATATTCAGAGGCAAAAAAAACACTCAAGTGCACTTTTATCTGCCCTTCTTGCTGGTTGGGAGGCCATTCCAATAAGGATCCTTGAGCTCCTGACTGCCAGTAGTTTCTTTTAGGATTTATACAGGTTGAAATTAATTTTGTAAAAATCATGGTATAAAATAACCAAATGAATGGGAAAAATGAACATACAGCAACATTTTTTTTTTAAAGTTTTCCTATACAACTTCTCTTTATATCATATTATAGCATATTAGGAAGAAGATTACACTCGGGATGTCGATGAAGTTTCTTTTTTGCCACATAAAGTCATTTAGCATTTAGTATCTGCCAATCCAAACTAAAATCATTTTCCTACATAATACATACCCCAAGTATTTTTAGCTACAGTACCAAGTTGTGCCACCAGGTTGTGCCTCTTCCTGTGCTGGAGTGACCACAAGAGGGTGTCATTTTGGACTCTTATCATGTGTGTGTTGACTGAAACAACATAATCAGCACAGGAAAACATCCGCTGTGCTTAATTTATATTATTAATTAATCAATTATTAATTGACAATACTGCATCATTTAACAAATGATTTAAAATTTGCGTGACCAAAGTCTGGTCCCTGTGTGACAGAGGACATTCACTGATTGATATGGGCATGACGTCAATTAAAAAATGCTTTTATCGGATTCAGCCCTACTCTTTGAGACCTCATCAGGACATTCCTAGACAACACACTGCAGTTGAATGTGAATGAAGTGCATTACCATAATGGATAAATAGTTTAACATTCAGTTGGGTTCACCAAAAGAATTCTACCACTACGTTAGTTTTGGTTTTGCTTCAATAACAGGAGAATTTTAACTCACTGCACTGTGCAAGGCCTTGACTTACCTGCTTTATTTTACTACTGTAAGTGCTTCCTTCTCTGAGATGGACAGAGTGCCATTTTTTCTCTACATAACTGCCACGATGTAGTTCACAACCTACAAATTAGCAGTGCTCGATTGTCTTTTACTAGAAATTTTAAGTATTGATGTTCTTCTTTTTACACTTTTCTCAGAACTCAGATGTGATGGATACGTAATGAGAATTGAACACAAGATCAAGAGAACAAATGAAGAATGAATATTGTACTTCTGACTACTTTGTCACTGTTGAAGCCTGCATTCATCAAACACTATCTCCAACACTTCTGGGCTTTCAAGGTTTTATAAAGACAGAAAGGTAACAAATAGGTTAGATCTCTTTCTTTGTTGCATCCAATTGAACATTACACAGAGGAGTTTGGACAAGAAATGTTATTTCTATAGTCCTGTCTATACATCAGCAAGGCTTACAATATAAATGAAGACATGAGTAAGCTTAGCATTAATAACAAAACTAGAGATGGATTATACAAGTTACAAATGTGATACTAACAGTAGAGTTCTAGGATCACCAGCTATGCACTGACAATGCATACTTCTTTCTTGAAGAGAGGGAAAATTGTTACCTTATTTAACTTTCATTGTTTAAAAGAGGAACAAAGAAATACAGTCTCACTTGTCACCTATAGTAACAGTATAACAACACTCAAAACTGGATTCTTATTGGAGTGGTCCTTCAGGTGCTGCCTGCTCCTGGGTTGTTATCTCTCAGTTCGCTCAGCTTAGACGGGATAAAGGCCAGCTTTCCACTTATGTGGGGGCAAACTTCTTGGCCTGTGCCCTTACCCTTTTCTCATAGTCCATCCTATTCTGACTGAAACAAACAAACAGAAGAAAGCCAAAATGACAATTCAACAATGCTACTGTGCTATGCTATGCTACTGTGTTACTTAGCATGTTAGGCAATTTTTGTAAAGGTTCCTTTGCTATGATAATATACCACTGTTTAAGTACGGACAGAAAAGAAAACATTTTCTGTGTTCTCTAAGAAACTGTGTGCTTATCTGCCTGTGCACACAAATGTGGAAAGTATCATTTGGCCCTTACCAGTAAATTGTGTAAGCCTCTGCTTGTGCAGGGTCTTGAATGTTAGGCTCATTTAGCAGCTCCTGGATACCCAACAGGATCTAAAAACACAGTAATACTTTAATCGCAGTGCAGTAAGAATAGCACTTTAGTCTATGAGTTTATTAGCAATCCCACAAACAATGCTTTTTTTTCTTTGAAGTAAGGACCTTCAGGGTCCACACAAAACAAAAACAGTGTTACACTAGGTCACAATATGTAGAATGTACTGATAAAGCATGAAGAAAAGTTGAAAATAACCTAATACAAAGCAAGCAGACTAGCCAATTTCATTGTTAAATAGGGTGACAGTGACACCATAAATATTTGAGAACTCAAACCTGTTTGATGGTGATGGCCGGTCTCCAGTCTTTGTCCTCCTCCAGGATTGACAGACACACAGTGCCGGACGGATAGACATTTGGGTGGAAAATTGGTGGCTCAAACTTGCCTGATTACAAATTGTTTAAAATAACTTCAGAATGTTAAAGCTTTAAACAAACTGACATTGTTGAATTAGAGATCACATTGTAATATACCAATGTAATACACATACAGTACATAAGTGTATGTATATGTATTACACACATAGTCATAGTCATTGCAGAAAAACCCCATTTCCTTAAGTGTCTGACACAACATCTGTAAATCAAATGAAAATGTGAGAGCTTAAGTTTTTTTTTTTTTTTTAAAAACTGTCTTTTTCCAACAACTGAGTATCTACACACTAGAATCTATAATAGGGCTTTCATGAAGGAATGGAATATATGTGTTACTGTAACATCGTTTCACAACACCAGATAGTACATGACATATAGCATAATGTCATTAAAGCATACAAAACATAATATGTGTCATTCCATGTCAAATCATCAGGGGCCTTCTGCGCAACCATCTGTAATTTTTTAAAAACTTTTTAATCATAAACTATGAATATATCTGTAACATCTGTAAACATGAAATTAAATACAAGGTTACTTCTTAGTTTTCTTCTTAATGTCTTAGCCTTAACCAGAAACAAGGGGCATAATTTACATTGTGGTGAATCACCATAAACTATAAAGCCTACATTACTGTGTACAAATATTAAAATGGCTGTTAAAGAGTAAAGCTCTGAGCTTTATTGCTGTTGTTCTCAGACAATGCACCCAGCCACACAGCACAGGCGGCAGTTAGCACAGGTGGTATTGTCTGACTTCTAGAAGCGACAGGTCGTTAGAGTAAGGTGCATAATGCAACAATTCAAAGCCACATTTGGCTGCATCGGCCACCTGTGCTGTCAGGACGTGCACATTGTTCTGTATCAACAGTACACCAGATGAAAGTTTTCCTCTATTTTTCTTTTATTGTTTCAAATATTTGAGTTTTTTTGGACAATGATATGAGGTTTTATAGTACAAAGATATGCCCCAAAATGGTAGTTATGTCCCTTGTTTCCAGGTGAGGGTGAGAACGTTTTTAAGTACCCTTGTATCAAGTGCTTTTCAGAGTCATTATATGTATGACTTTCCCATTTACGCATTTTCAGGGACGTTTTTTAACACACTGAAATTGAAGGCAATGTTTGAACGACAATATCTCAGTAAGTAATAAAGATAAATACCTACATTTTACTGGTATTTTTCATTTTGCCATTGGTTCAGAATCGATGAGTATCTGACTATGAGTTGGATAAAAACAAAAAAAACATTTGAAGCTGTTATTTAAAAGTCTCATCTTTAAACAACAAAAAATGGATAATGCAGAAGTCAGCTAGTAATATTTTCTGGCCCATATGTAGTTGAACGTCATGATAATACAAAAAAAACCCCAAAAAACATATACAATACATTTTAGTATGAAACATTTAGTTGCAAAAATAAAAAAAATATTGTAATATAACTGTCATACCTGATAAAGCAGGAATGACAAGCTATACCACAAAAACAAACATACTGCTAGATAGGCTTATCTAAATAGAACAGTGATGGAGTTTCAGACTGCTTTCTTTATTCCCACATTTTTTATTTCTGACCCCACTTTGCAGAAGTGAACTGTTACCATATCCCCAACAGAAACAACAGTGAAAATGAGAGGATTTACCTTGAATACTTCCTGCTTTCTGTAGCTTAAACAAAGCCTCAAATTTCAATGTGTGAAAAAAAATGTAGAAAGTGTTATAAATGAAAAAAAAAAAAAAAGTTTTCTCATTAATTTTATATATTAAGTTACTATTAAGGATAGACCAATATGTGTGTTTTTTTTTTTGTAGGGCTGATGCCAATATCAATCATTTGTAATCAAGAAAGACCAATAACTGTTCCCGGAATTGATATATATTACAAGTACTTGATTAACAGCACGTGATTTGGTGAGGTTTAAACAGGTTTGTTCAATTAAAAAGGATTACTATAACTGCATTTATACGTTAAACGTAATAAATTAACAGCATGTAATAGCAGGAAACCTTTCATTTATAAGGAGGCTTCTTCATTAATGATAATTACTGTAAATTAATATTTACAAAAAAATAAGAGTGATGACATTTTAGCGTCACGCAACGCTACAATGCTCATGTTTATTCTAAGATCGATTGATTGAAATTAATAACCGTCTCCTCCATTTTGTAAATCTGTTTCCATTCTTTCACTTTTATTGCCCACTAAGGTCTAGATCTTAAAGCAATATTTCTTATTTTCCAGACACTGTTTTGGGGTCATCTGTGGTTGCCCCCTAACTTAGCTGCTAGCCATTAGCATAGCCTGAGCAACTGTAAAAGCAGCGAATGTCCTGATTTTTGGAGATGGCTCTGTTTCTTCTTCAGTTTTTGTAGGTTGTCTCTCTGCTAAAGAGATGTGTCTCTCAGATAGAGAAGATTATTAAAGTTAATCTGACTTTAGAAAGACATTGTGGTGCTCCACAAGAGGAGACACGAGGAGAGGAGGTGGTGGTCGGAGGGGCCATAGGCGCAGAATGGCAGCCGTGCCTCTGTCAGTCTGTCCCAGGGCAGCTGTGGCTACAATCGTAGCCACCACCACTGGAATGAATGTGTATGTGTCTTTGAGTTACTCACTGATTTAGAAAAGTGCGATATAAATATAATCAATTATTATTATTATTAGGAGTTGAGGAAACAGGTTTATAACAAAATGAGACATCCTCGCCTTGGCAGGTCAGTTTAAAGTGACGTGATTAAAACATAATGTGTCAAAGCTGCGTGACCTGTCCATTTTTTTTTGTTTTTTTTTTTTAAACCTACAGCTGTGTTACATGATGTCTTTCAGATTAGCAGAACAGTGTTCATGCTAATGTATAGTATATAATTTTACCTACAATTCAAGTCACGCACAGCAGAATGTGACGAGAATATAGAGATGTCATACTCAAAAAAAATAAAATTTAACACGTGCAGTGTAAAGTATTAAATAGCTGTGGAACACAAATAATACGATGAAAATAAAGAGTGACATATATTAATAGTGAATATCACATACACATTTGTCAGTCCTGCTGCTGACATCTTTTGTATATTCAGTTGAGTTTTGCCTTTTTTTTATGTCACGGGTGTGGAAAACATTTCATCAAGGACACAGCGAGGATACACCTGTGCATCCTCGCTCATAGCTCCTCCAGCAGCCTCCTCGATCCTCATTACGCAGTGTAGGAAACACGATGTCCTTTGTTATGATGCACCAAGATCGAGTTCCGGGTCATGGGCTGGAGGACCGCGGAGTCGAGGAGGCTGAAATCAGTGAAATGAGATGAGCCTAGAGTGACTGCAGAGAGAGAGCCGGCTGCATCAGAGCAAAAGGATCGTATTTAATTTATTGTGCAACAATTGGTCAGTGAAAATAACGATACCAATTATCTAAAAATGTCAAAGATCTGTGACAATTGTTGGTTGGGCCATTAACCGGTCGATCGTTTCACAAATATTTTTCTAAATATCATTTTTTATGCTATAAGAATTTCAGGTAATTCAGAAATGGTCGAGCACAAATTGTTGTAAAAATTTTATGATTTGACATAGAATGACCCATATGTGTCTTAGAAACTGATAGCGCCATGACAACAGGGAATGCAGGGATAGAACCTTGTCTGACAAACCCAACATTTATACATTCTAGGCAATGCAGTTTAGCTGGATGTATAGACAGTTATTCAAAATCTTTAACTTTCACATATATTAATTGTGGTAACAGAAAAAAAGGTAATTTACCTTTGTTTGAAAATTATACATCCAAAGACACCACCACTGTTTATGGGTTAATGGTTTGTACAAAACAACATACTAGCTAAATCTGGTATAGTGGCTTTGTTGCCATAATTTTTATTTCCTGGGGTTTTCTGTTTCTGTGTTGAGTACATCAATGCATAGATGCATGTGCTTTAAAATTCCATCTTACTATGTACAAAGAGTAGAGAGGAGTGATACTCACATTTGGGTGGCGAGGAAGGGTAGTCATCTTTGAACAGCATTCTGAGTTTATAGAGTCCTCCCTCCCACAACGTCTAATGAAAAAAAAAAATTACAACTGTTTTAATGCACTCCCTGAGAAAATACACAAGGATATTACTCAGTGATAAAGTAATAACAAAAATGAACATACAGAAACTAACTTAGATCCACTGGTACATTTCAATGTCAAGCAACAATGAAAACAAATAAATAAATAAACAAAAAACTTTGTTTTCATATATAAATAATACATTTACAAATTAGTCCTTTTTTGTACAACCCCTTCTGATCACAAGGTCAAAAGATTTTGTATTTTATTGCCTGCCATGAATATGTGACAGATTTTTTACACTGTTCTTTGCTAGGTCTGAACAACTAATTAACAATATGCTGGCTTTAATACTTCAGATAATTAAATAAAGTATGTATGCCATTGGTTGGTCTGGTCATCATAACTAAGTTCTGACACGTGTTAAAAATGTACAATGTGCGTTTGTTTAACATGTCTGCTTATAAATGCCAGTGTGAAATTTGTGGCTGGATGGTGGGCAGAAGGTCTGCAAAAAAGTTTTAGGCTTTTGTGTGCAGTCAAAATATACATATTAAAAGGCCTACTGCTGGTTATTTTGAAGAGACAGCAGGTGATCCAGTTTGATTTCCAACTGTAATGCAGTCTGTGCCCGATGGTAACTTACTCCTTTCTTCCCTGGAATTGCGCACTCCCAATTCATCAGATTCATGGTTCCATCTGGATTTTTAGTAGGCACAGCAACAAAACCCTATGTGGTAAAGCATAAATCATCAGTAGTCAAACGTAAGTACTTTACATAAGCGCTTTACAGTCGAAAAAAAACGGAATACCACTGCTTACAAATGGGTGGTCCTTTCTCCATGCTTTCCGTTCCTGGGACAGTCTGCTCAGAGCGATGCCAGACATTGCTGCTCATTAATGCCTCACTGAGGAAAACAGCCACATGTAATTAATCCAGACTGTACACAAGTTACATAGTCTTAGTTATTTATACTGCAACACCCAGTGATTAAATTATAATTATTACTGGCAGTAATTGTTCACGAGACCAGTAGTGGTTACAGGGTTAATTTACCCAACTACTACAATCCTCTGTTCAGGACTTAATCTATAACACTGGCAAATGTGACACAAAGACATCATCTAACATTACACTAGTTTCGGTATTTATTAACAAAAAATGCTGTAAACTTACCCCTTATTTTAATCAAATAAATATCGAAATTAGCGTCGCGTCAGTTTAAAGAGTAGCTTGATTGCTTGCTAATGCTAACGTTACTCCCGTTATGACGGCGACCGAAAAAAATAAACCCTTTGACGCTGAACAATAAAATGCTATACTAACTGAGGAGTAAAAGACCAAAACGTATGATACGTCTAGGTTATTACCACTACCCTAACACTCTACTCAAAATATACTGGACAAATTTTGGCACAATTTACAATTGTGCAAAACAATAGAACTCTCAAAACCGCTTCCACAGCTACCGTATCGCAAAAAAGGCCCCTTTTTTGTTTATTTCATTAGGACCTTCAGGCAGTATACGGGACATCCGAGTGACACACGTCAGGGATGGTCAGCCATCTTTGTTGTGGTGTTCGTGCTGGGTAGTTCACGCATTCTGGTGATTCAGTTATTTTGAGTCATGTTTCCAAAGTGAATCATTTTACACTTCTTATTTGTTTTAAATTAGTATGCTTTATACATGTGCACCACAATAGACTGCTAAAATAGGGTCCATATTTAAAGTACTCTGACAGTAGATCCTCTACAAAAACAAGTTTATTACTCAGTTAATCAGTTGTGTCCATATGCTTTTGATATACTAGGAGAAACATCATGAGCAAAATAAGCAGCCAGTGCAATGATGTATTTCTACCTTGAAACTGCAGTGTAATCAGAATCAGAATCAGAATCTGATACCAATGACAGTCTAAAAAATACAGATTCAGGGTTTCATGTGGAACAAATCTAAGAAAGGAAAATAGAGTTGGAGTAAAGTATCTTCTTTAAATGAAGAAAACAATTCCATTAAGTTGCAGGGTGAAGGTTTCCATGTCATTATTTTCAGTTTCTGATTCAAAAATGCACATGTACATGCAATTTTATTTGATGCACTACATACCATGGCAGACTCACCTTCAGGTACTGGTCAAAATGAGTTGCTCGTTCTCTTTCTTTCTTTCTTTCTTTTTCTTTTTACCTCACTGGAACATAGCAAAAGCTGACATCATAAATAGCAGTAAAGATAACTTCTTGCTAACTGCTAACTGGCAATATATAGTTGCTTGTAACAAAAGAGGATAATGCAGGTTTGAACAAATGCAGAGAATTACAGCCAGCTTCTAAACAATTCACAAATAGGAGCCCTTTTAGCAATTTATGGACGCTTTTTCACATTAGAATGTATTTATGGTACTACATCACTTAAAAATTGCACATGAAACAGCTCCACATGTTTCATCCTACTGTAACAAAAGCTTAAATATGTAAACTTTGTTTTAGAAATCAGGCATTTTGCCAGACACCTCACAGGAACCAGACTAAACTGGTTTAGATTTTCTCTATGTATTGCATTTCAAATTTTTCCTACACTGGGATTAGCAAATGCTAAAGTATTTTTGACTCTTTTTTTTTTTTAGCATGTAACTTAGCAACTTTGCAGTATGAAAATCAACATCTGACAGGACCTGTAAGGAAAAACTAAAATCATTTGCTCATTTTGCAAGCCAAAACAAATGCTTTGTTTGAAGAACTTCAGTCAGGATTTTGACTGCATCATAGGACAGAAACAGCAAAAGTGAAAGTCACCAATGATCTTGTGATATCCACAGACAGTGGACTTGTCTCTATACGTTTTCTGCTGAATCTAAGTGCTGAATTGATACAGTTGATCACAACATCCTATTAGAGAGACTGGAAAATGTATTTGGGATTAAAAGAAACAAGTTCAAATGGTTTAAATCATCTGATAGATTCAAGTTTGTTTATGTTAATGATGATACTTCCACTCAAACCAGAGTTAATTATGGAGTTCCACAGTGTTCTGTGTTAGAACCAATACTATTACTTTGTACATGCTACCCTTTGGCAATATTATTCGGAAACACTGCATACATTTCAATTGTTATGCAGATGACATCCAGTTAAATTTATCTATAAGGCCAAATAAAACTAATCAGTTTGTCAAACTCCAACCATGTCTTAAGGACATAAAGACCTGGATGACCTGTAATTGTCTTTGTTTAAATTCAGACAAAACTGAAGTTTTTGTATTTGGCCCTAAACACCTTAGAAACACACTATCTAGCAAGACAGTTACTTTGGATTGCATTGCCTTCGTGTCCGGTTCTACTGTGAGGAATCTTGGAGTCGTTTTTGACCATAATATGTCCGTAACTCACCCATAAAGCACATATGTAGGACGATATTTTATCATCTGTGGAATAATGTCAAAATCAGGAACATCCTGTCTCAAAGTGATGCTAAAAGTAGCCTATGCACTTTTAACTTCTATTGTAATTCCCTATCATCAGGATGTCCCAATGATTCTCTTAAAAACCTCCAGTTGATCCAAGAAGCTGCAACCAGAGTTTTGACCAGAATCAGTAAAAGAGATATCTCTCTCGTATTAGCTTCTCTTCATTATCTCCCTGTAAAAACCACGATAGAATTTAAAACCCTGCTTCTCACATAAAAACTGTTCATGGTCAAGCTCCATCTTATCCTAAAGACCTCATTGTACCATATTGTTCTAATAGAACACTTGGCATTCCCAGAGTTTCCAGAAGTAGAATGGGAGGTAGAGCATTCAGTTATCAAGCTGTTTTGTTGTGGAATCAGCTCCCAGTTTGGTTTCGGGAGGCAGACACCCTCTCTACTTTTAAGATTCGGCTTAAAATTTTCCTCTCTGATAAAATCATTAGACTATGTGGTTAAAAAAATTACATATGTAGCTTTATTTTATTAATAAAGGTCCCATGTTCTGGGCACCCTGATCGCACATCTGGTTGAGCGGGTGACCCATGAACAGGGGCTATAGTTTCCCGGCGCGGTGTTCGTGAGTTCGACTCCTGCTCACGACAGTTTGCTGCAAGGTCTCTCCCCATTCTTCTCCCCCCTTTTCTGTCTCACTCTCTCACTGTCCTGACTAATACAGGCAAAAATGCCAGAAAATAATCCATCCATCCATTTTCTATACACCGCTTAATCCTCATTAGGGTCGCGGGAGGGCTGGAGTCTATCCCAGCCGACTTAAGGCGAAGGCAGGGGACACCCTGGACAGGTCGCCAGTCCATCACAGGGCCACACTTAGAGACAGACAACCAAGCACACTCACAGTCACACCTACGGAGAATTTAGAATCACCAATTAACCTCAGCATGTTTTTGGACTGTGTGGGAGGAAGCCGGAGAACCCGGAGAGAACCCACGCTGCACGGGGAGCCAGAAAATAATCTTAAAAAAAAAAAAAAAGGTTCCATGTTCAGGGGCTATAGTCCCTGTTGCAGAGGTTATGAGTTCGAGTCCTGCTCATGGCTGTTTTCTGCAGGTCCTTCCCCAATTCTTCACCCCTACTGTCCTGTGTCTCTCGTAACTGAACTATCAAATAAAGGCAAAAAAAAAAAAAAAAAACCTTAAAAAAAGGTCCCTTCATATCTTAAAATACCATAGATGTAACTCTACAGTATTGCTTTTTTGTTATTAAAGATGATGATATACAAATATGATATAACAAGTTATTATTTATTTGATCTGAAAGTGCATTAACCATATAGATTCTGTTTATGCCTTGTTCTCATCAAATTCAGAATACCTCAGACTAGCGATAACCCATTTTCAGAAAAATACTTTTTTTTTCCCTACATGTTTATATTGTGTAATTTTGGACATTTGTAGTTGTTTTGTTGCTACAAATATGTAAAAAAATGCTTGGGCTAAAACTGGGTTTGATATAGCCATACCATAGAAAAATATGACAATTCAAATAATTTTAATGCAATATAAACTTCAGTTCTGAATTTTAGGTATTTAAAGTTGTTGTGAGCTATCCATCCATTATCTTTACACCGCTTATTATTAAGGTTGCTGAAGCCTATCGCAGCCGACTCAGGGCAAAGGCAGGATATGCACTGGACAGGTGATGAAGAAGTAACATGTTTCAGCTAAAAGTGGTCTGTATTTAGTTACTGAAGGTGGTGGTATCAGAGTTTACCAGCAGGAGAAGAGAATCACTGGAGAGGCAGCTGATCATTGCACAGTATTTTGTCACCAGGCAGCCTGCTAGTGTTACACAGTATACCAGTACTAGAAAAGTATTGCAATACTTTGCCGTTAAAAGCTGTACTACAATACGTTAATTTATCAGCAACGTTTTGCGAAGAGCAGCATTACCAGTGATTACCACTGATGTGTTAAAGAAGGACAGTGTGTGGGATTGCAGCACACTGCTTTCACTCCTTGTTCCTTGGGCGTGGCAACCTCTTTTCTTGTCTGGCAGCTTGCATAGCCTGTTATTGACTTTCCACAGCTGGATAATAGCACAAAGTGAAATATGGATATGGAATTATTTTACTTACCTATAGTTGACAGTGGGAAAAAACTTCAACATTATTTTTTAGATTTTTTATTTTATTTTTTTGTATAATTCAACTGTGTTTTTTGATGTTTGTGCTATTTTATTTTGATCATTTAAATGATTTATCAATACACCTATTTTATTTCATAATTCCTATAAATATAAATTCATTCCAAGTAACTGAACCACATTTTATAAATGTTTTTGATTGATAGGTTTATTAAATTGTCAACTGCCAATGAAAGTCACTTTAACATTTAATGAAGTATATAAAGTGCTGTGCTGTTTAACTACAGAAGTGAAGTATACAACAAAACAAATGAACAAATAAACAAAAACAGCCAAGAAAAATACATAGCATGCAACACAGCATACAGCTAGTATGCCCTCCACATCATCTACTTTGGGTGTGGATTACAGTAACAAATGTGGTACAGTGACTCCCGACTTTAGCACTGTAGTAATTTGCTGCATAAACTTGGCCTACAAAGGAAGACTCAAAATGCACAGAAATATCTACTGTAGATTCATTTTATCAGTACAATCAGAACAAACACTTAATGAAGCATAAGTGGTACTTTACATATTTAACTGCATCAGTGCAAATACATGTTCAGCTCTTTTTGGTTACAAACCTACAGTAAATACAAAAATTTTCACCTATTTTTCTAATGTTGTCTGGATGATGATTAAGTGAACAACAGAACAATAAACAACCCAAATCACTCCTTTATGTATTCAATACAAACAGTGGGTTGTGGATTGAGGGTACAGTTGCCTTTTTTCATCCTAAGGCTAAAAGTCAACAAAAAGGAGCTATGTGATTATTTTGGTCCACATATTTTGAATGCTAATGAATATTTTAAATAATTCAGAGTGACAAGGTAAACAGCACTTGACTCTCTGACTGCTACTGTAGTTAGTCACTTGAAGTGCACTTACTGTGAGCCAGTGTGATTCATTGGATTATACAGCCCCGCAAACTAACATACAGCTTGCTCGCAGTGAGCAACACTACAGGTCGCAGTCAAAACAAATCTGTGACGTGTCATAAGTGGATCACTTTGTTTGTATTGACAAACAGTACTTGTCCTTTTGACCTGTGTGACATTGGCTTATACTGAAGTAATCCATGTCTACTTATTTAACAAAGACTGGGCCAGACCAGCACTAGTAAATTAATCTGGGTTTAATGTGGAATTAAAATGTGCACACAAATACTGTGCTACAGACAGCCAGCTCCATTCTCAATCCTCCATCCTTAATACTGGGATTGATACATTAAAAGGACAAACTCTTGCAGGTTAGTGAAGCAGTGTTGTTAAGAATGGTGGATTTCACAAACTGCAGGATGACAATAGCTGACAAAGTGTCCTGTCAAAAGAACTCCCTTGCTGCAAAAAATCAAATTAGGCCAACTATATGCAACCTATATTGGATTAATTTTTCATCAAGCAATGCTTTAAATGAAGGAGAATTCAAATAGGAAAATAATACAAGGGCAGAAGACAACAGGGGTTTTAGAATGTTCTGCTGAAAGATTTTGGCCAACTCTTTTACAAATCTAGCAAAAAATTAACATTTTATAGTGCAAAATAACCCATGATAGATGGCCTACAAAATAAAGATGAGCTAATAAAGTATGTCAGACCTGTGCATCAAAGCAACAAATGTGAGTCTGGAGAAAAAGAAATCCAAGCAAGCCACAAACAGCTCTGCATTTAAATAATTAAAGTTTTTTTCATTTCATTTCATTTAACTATCACATGGATTCATTTTCTACTCATACCAAAATGATAGTGCTTTTCTGTTGGTACTTCATCAACCTGCAACGTAACAGCCATTTCTGCTTTCTGTATATCACAATATATTCAATTTAAGGAAGCATGTTTCACTTTCTATCAGATTCATGGTTCAACGATGTGGGATTAAAAATAGAAAACTACATATAACTCAGTGTATATTAACCTGTTTGATTACTAGACAACTAGCACATGCAAGCTATAGACATTCTAAACATGTTGAATGTTAGCTTTCACATACATTATGTAAAGAGTATATTATAACTTCTGCCAATTTATTAATGAAGCTTTCTTGAAAATTTTAAAACTCACTTTTAAAGCAAAAGAGGCATGAAAAGAGATGTAACTTGTCTTGGTAACTCAAGAATGTTGAGTTCTTCAGACACACAAACAATTTATTAACTTTTGGGTTGGAGTACACACAACTCAACAGTACATTCTATCCCTTGATGTAGTGAAATGGACCCATCTCAGTCAGCATCATAACCATGGCACTTCTGAACTGAATTAGACATGTCTGTATTCTTAAAACTTTCCAAACGGTTAAAAAGAACTCAAATGTGCAACTTTCAATGCCTCATCCTTCCATTTACACACCCAATACCGAATCCTGTCTAGCCGTCATAATTCAATGGATCACGACATTCCTACTCTTAGCTTCATTATTAAAATGGTGGCTTTAGGAACAGCCACCAACTCCAATGGGCCTTCACTTTTATTCAAGATTAAAATTATATTTAGATAATCACGACAGACAGCTTTCATGTTAAGGGTCAAACAGACCCCAACTAACTGCTACTGTGTATCTCATTTTGTCACAGACATTATACAGAAGCATGAAACATCAAGACAATATTTGAGAGATGATTATTTCATGCAGACACTTTTTCCAGGAACTTAATTACAGATTAAGGTTAGCATTGACTTCGGTTGACATTTCAGTGCCATGTTATTTGTCAGGGATGGGGTGGCTGTGCCACTGCAGTTCTCAGCAGCCTCTCAGGATCTGACAGGGCACAGTAAAGGGTATACCCCAGCTCATCCACTTCCTGTGCTGTCAGCTCACAAAATAAATTAACTTTGGGGTTAAGGGCACATGGCAGCCTCCCAGCCTCTAAGTGTCCAACGAGTGCCCGTAGAAGCTGAAGGAACCGGTCAGCCAGTGCTTCCTGTGTCCAGTCACCTTCTTTTTCACTCAGCAACAAGATAGTGTTGGTAAGTTGGCTGGCATTGAGCCGGTTAAGGGCAGGGTTAAGCTTGCACACAGCCTTTGCCACCTTCAGGCAAATGCATCTGCAGCCTCCGTCCTCCTGATCCAGAGCCCTGAGTCGCGCCGTATCAGCCACACGGAAGCTCTGCCGCCACAGGTTTTCATGGCGCTCTGCAGCAAGCCGGTGTGGTTTGGCAATCAGTGAAGTTCCATCCTCCATCACAAGCAAAGGTAAGAAGTCCACATACAGTTTCTGGTCGATCTCATATTGTACCTCTAAGGTCAACGTTTCTGAGGGAACCACAGGACGAATGACGTAGTCAAGGATACTCCCTATAGCTGGCCAGTTGATAGAGCCGGCCACAAGCTTATCAAAGACTTCAAGGACTGATTTCGGGGAGAGGTAACCTCCAACCATACAACGGTCCCAGTAGCTGCTATTCCGTGGGAAATATTCCAAGTTCTCCCTGCGGACAAGCCAGAAACCTGGGACATTCATAATGGTGTCCTCCCCAGGGATGGAAGACCACAGATTCTTCTCCAAGACAAGAGGAACCATCAGCTGGGCATGGTCTGCTGTCACCACCTAAGAAATGGACATGGTGAAAATCAATGTTTAATCAAAACTATATACCAATATAAAAATAACAAAATCCAAACAAATATGTGTAACCTCTTACTTGAAGGTCATCATACAGACTGCCACTAAGATACATCTCTCTGAGTGGCATGTCAGGCAGTTTGGCATGAAGAAACACTCTTAGCTCAGCACAGATGTCCAGTGCTGCCTTCCTGGCCATAGCCTGCTCCTGACTAGGGATGTTAACATTATTTTGGTAGAACTCCCACAGATGTTCCTGTAGCGATAGACGCATCCGGACACGCAGCATGTCTGATTGAGTGGAACCACTTCCTACCACAGCAACTCGACCTACTGTCCTCCGCAGACAGTCTAGGAAGATTGAAAGCAGTAAAAAATTAAAATTGGCATTTTTCCAAAAAGCAGCAAAATTCTGTGACCTTTAACTGTTCCACATCTTCACACAATGAATCTGAAGGGGAGGTAGTGGGTGAACTTTTAAAATATGGGAGTGGCATGATTGTGCTATTACAATGTGAAAAAAAATCTACAAAGACCAAACTAAGGGTATCTACAGTATCTGAGGAATTAAAACATTAAGATACAACTACATCATACCAATAAAAACGATAAACTAATATAAAATAGGTGGGAATCTAACTGCAAAGCCACAAAGATCCAACACCCACTGTAAAGGAAGAGCAAGAATCCTCCAAATAGGCTGTCTGTCAACAGATAAACACATGCGCGCGCACACACACAAACAAAAACATATGACAGCCTGCTGAAATTCTGAAACACTACAGCAGCTTGACAATATTGCAGAACACAACATGATCAACTGTCAAAAGACATTTGAAACAATTAGGTCAATTTAAAGGGCAATTTGTTTCCCTCACCTGGTTCAAAAGCATGTGAAGAAGTGGGCAGAGACTGTAGTGATCTGCTAACTGTGGACTTCATGTCATGGTTAAGTACCCGTGGTGATGAGCCCATCCACATTGGCTCCTCCCAGCTTCTCTTTCCTGTTTGTTCCATCTTGGTGGGACTGGTTGGAGCACTTATTGCACGGTCATACATCTGCACAAAGAATATGTTGCTATATAACTATAGGTATTGGTATAGAATCCAATATAAGAATTTTTTTTTCATCTTTACACTTACCCTTTTGACAGCTAATGTTGCAATGCCAAGCATGGCTGCCCCTCCTACCCCTAGCACAAGCTTGGCATTGGAAAGCACAAAGTCAATGGCTGTTCCAATCCCATTATCATCTTTCTTTCCTTTTCGGTCTCCATTTACCCCTGCCATCCTGTCACTGAAAAGGTGCATGATGCAGACAAACAATGACACTGAGTGGAAAAGCAGAGACAGTAAAAAAAACTATTTTCTCTGTTGTGTTGCGTAGTGCAAATACTGGAACATACAGACAGGTACCTTTGATGTCAAGGTGAAAACAGATTTCTACAAAATACTGTAAATTAAGTACAAATATTTTAAAAAGTGATTGTGTACGTGTTCATCACCTCAAAGCCAGTATTTAGTCGATGTACCTTTGACTGTAATTAGATCATTAAGTCTGCAAGGATAGGTCTTGCACAACTGCACACTGCAATTTTACCGCCAAACCTAAAACTCAAGTCAGAGATAACATCATGAAGGTGGTTATCAACTTTCTTTGTTAACTAAGGAACTCAGTACGCTCCATAAAACGGAGGATTTAACTCACGGAGGATGTGACTCACGTGAAACGACGACGTGCAGCTACTTCAGTCAACAGGTTGCTATAATGGAGAGCAACAAAGAATCCCAAAAAAATATGACTTTAAAAAGCACTGCTGCAAATTATGCAAGACAGGAATGATGGTAGAAAATTGGTAGTTATGTGCTAATATATTTAATTTATTGATGAGTGTAGCTGCTTTTTTTCTGACAGCTGCATTTTAGAGCTGTTAACGGTAACTTCATAATATTGTACTGAAGTGCATTTAGGTCTGACACTGTCTCATAATACAGTATATCACTGCAATTTTTGGCCAAGTAAGTGAAATTAATATTATTGATTGAATATGCTCTGTAATAAATACCAATAGAATAATCAATTTTCTAATCTGTGTTTTATTAGCTGCAGAACCAGTAGTGTAAACAGATTTGGATGCAAATCAGGACCAAATGTAAAAACATATTTATGCTATTTCTGCATAACCAGCAGAATACATGTCAAGTACCTATGGCAACATGATGCATATATAGTGTGCAATACTGTAACTGCACAGCTTCATTCAGTGGTTTTAGTAATATACTACTCAACACGTTTGCAGATGTACCATATATCCGAAGAGGCTTTATCACTGAACATAACCTGCTCTGGACCAGGTTAGCTCTGCAGCATAAGTTACCATGGAGATTTAGTAGGTTAAAAGACAGCCACATTTGTGACACTTAAAACTCTGACTTCAGGTTTAACATACCTTGGAGTTGGCAACTCCAAAACATTCATGTTGTTATCTTTAAATCTTTTTGCATCACTTTGGTTGTATGCTTCGGGTCATTGTCTTGCTGGAAAACAATTTCTCTCCCAAGTCACAGTGCTCTTGCAGTTGCATCAGGTTGTTGTTGTTCTAAATTTCCCAATACTCTGTTGCAATCATTTTACTCCCTATCTTTACAAGTTTCTTTCTGGACCTGCTGACAAGAAGCATCCCATCATTGTGATGCTGCCACCACAATACTTCACAGTGGGGATGGTGCATTTATGATGATGTGCAGTGCTTGGTGTCCGCGCAACATGGTCTCTAGTCTGATGGCCAAATAGCCCAATTTTGATCTCATTAAACTAAAGAATCTTCTTTCATTTGACTTCAGAGTCTATCACGCGACTTCTGGTGAACACTCAGGATTTAAAATGAGATATTGTCAACAGGAGCTTTCTGTCGCCACTCTCCCACAAAGCTTTGACTGGTGAAGAACCTGGGCAACAGTGATTGTGTTCAGTTTCTCCCATCTCAGTTCCTGAAGCTTGTAACTCCTTTATAGGAGTCCCTCACTAGACTCTTTCTTGCATGGTCACTCAAGTTTTGAAGGACAGACTGCTTCAGGCAAATTCATGCATGTGCCATATTGGAGGCCTTTTTTTCCAGCGACTGAAACTTCCAGATAAAGGTGTCTATATACTACATTCATTTGAGGCATATGCTGCCATATTTACTGCACTCGGATGATCTCCATTTCACTATTTGTGACTTGTGGCACCAACTCACTGTACCTCTGTTGAATGAGGCGAGTCACTTTAAAAAGGGTAAATACTACCTGTGCATTACTTATTTATGTGTTAAATTTAAAATTAATTGAAATTACTTTGTAAACATAGTTTTCACTTTGACATGTGTCTTTTGTAAATTATTGTCCGAAAAGCTAAATTAAACTGACCATGATCCATTGCTAAAAACAAACAAACAAGCAAACAAAAACAATAAAAAGCGAAAACATTTTATATGCACTGTATGTTGGGTAGCACATTTTTAAGTAGACCGATGATACACACAGTTCACCCTCTGGTCTGAGATGATTGCATATCACAGCAAAAGATGGAAAAATCAGTTACTACCCTCATCCAATATATCATATTTGTAGCGTGTCCTACAAAACTAAATTGTCCGCCTCCCCCCTACAAAGGTCCAAAAACTTATACTGCTGACAGTATTTCGTATTTGTAAACCCACCTGGGAGACGCACCTCCTGATGACCTTTAAACCACCTCCAAACGGCTTGTGATCCTTTCCTTCTACATAAGCCCACCCAGTCTACTGCTGAGGAAGAACTGACCCCTCTTCAGTGCGTCCTCCTTATCTTCAAGTACCGTCAAGGCCTGGCAACGGCGAAACTCACGAGCTACAGCCTGACGATAATAATCCCGATCAGTGTACTGAAGGTGACGTCCTGCACGGAGCAGTGCTCTATAGAGCTCCAGCACAGCGCTGCGAGACCAGCTGCCCATTAGGGATCACACGTGGAGAGGGGGGGATGCACCCTTGCACCTGGACAAAGGAAATCAGAAGTTATGTGATGAAGGAACAGATGTAGTAGGTAGCAAAGGTGCCTTTTTATTTATTAATAAGTGATAGGTGGACTAAGAACTAACTAAGGTAAATCTGAGTATGCCTGAGTAAAACATCTGTAGTAGTATTGATGGTGGCATAAAGTCGTTATTACCCTGTCTATTCATGACCAATGCAACAACTATTTCGATAAATATCTGTCACATAGATATGCAAAACTTGCCTGCTACATTTATCCTTTGTACGATACAGACGGTTAGCACTAACACAGCAAAAGTATACCCACGACTCAGGTGCAGTGTGAGCTCGAAAACACTTTAACGTTGCTTAACTCTAGCAACCATACAAGCTTGACCAGGTAAATAACGTGGCTGACTGTTTCCCTGTTTTCCAACGCATGCTACAAATCCATTCCTTCTGCTAAAAAAAATAATATTTGCAGTGTAATCTAAAGAGCATTTTCTCTGTAGAAAATGGCTGGTTTAACGTAAAGTCACACATCTCTTGACTAGCTCGTTAGCTTAATGCGCTAACTAGCCGATAGGCTAAGAAAGCGTTGACCTTACTTTTTCCCAGCCTTACGGGCAAGACTCATTCATTATAAATGGCAAACGGCACAATTGAGGTGCAAACCGAAACACACAGCAAAGAAACACGAGCCAACCTACGTTACAGAAATTAGATCTGATCTTTTTCCTCACAGAGCGTGAGAGCTCTATCATCGAGCCGGGGGTAAGATTCGACAGTGACAACCGGAAACATATCGGAACGCTGCAAAGAGTCTCCAGCTGACATAATATATCCGGGTCATACACGTTTGTGTCATACACTATCGACTGTGATCTGCGAAAATTGCTGTATAAATATGTATTTTATTTCTCTTGTTTTGTTTCATGCTAATTTCGGATTTTCCAGTTCTGATTAGTTTATGCTTTGTCAGTTTTTAGAATGTGAGCATTTCTTATTGTTGCTTCGAGGCATCAGCCAAGACAAAGTAGGAGCATCAGTGTACTGCTGAAATAAATCTGAATCTTTACACTCAAAAAGAAATTTGTTGAGTTAATGTAATTTGATTATGCCACACAGTTCCATCTATTCAATTTAAGTAGATTTAGTCTGTCTTAATTATGTCATCTGAACACATGTATTTGTAGGTGCAACACTATTTAGATATTTATGTTTTCTGTTTACCTAATGAAATGCAATCTAATTCACTCTTGCTGGACAAACTAGATTTTGTTTTGTGAATTCTACGGAAACACATTTTGTTGAATGAACCGGTTTGCATCCCGGTGAGGACACCCAGGATTTTTCTGTGTGGCGTTTGCATGTTCTCTTCGTGCAGCTTGGGTTCTCCCCGGGTTCTCTAGCTTCCTCCCACAGTCCAGGGTGTCCTCTGCCTTCGTCCCAAGTTGGCTGGGATACGCTCCAGTCCCCCACAAGCCTAGTGAGGATTAAGCGGCGTATAGATAATGGATGGATGGATTGTTTAATTAATATCAATCTTGTTGTTTCAATTACTTTTCTTTTAGTAGGTACAACTCATAAGCATCTGTCTGATTTACAATCCGAATGTACACTAATTTAAAATTTAAAAAAAGTCTGCATAACATAATTCAAAACAACTTTATTTTAACAACATTTTTTACATTTTTGAAATGTAAACTTTTCTCAATGTTTGTAATGTTTGTATAATTTAAGCGAGCATGGCTCATTTGGAAAACTGAGCATCAAAAAATAAACAATCTTGCCAGAGTGCTTTTTTTTAAAAAACAAAAATGTTTCTTTAAGACACTGAATAAATATAAAATGACCTTACTAAGACAGTGAGAAAAGTGCATTACACTGCATTATGTACTGTATTAGTGTGAAAACAGCGCACAGACAAGTCCAAAAACAGTGCAATCAAATAAAATGCTATATTAGAAGTAAACTGAGAGTGGTACATACTTGAAGTTGCTACATATTTTGATACCAAACTCAAAGCATATCTATATAGTAACAATTCTCTCATATTCTATTAAGAAGAGTACAACAACATCACTGTTTGTGTGATTGTTTTATATTTGAGGCAAATATACATACATATATATATATATATATATATAATAAAATAAACTGTGTGTCCATGTATCTTAGGCTGCTTCACTCACACAGTTGCCCAATTGCTCATATTGTAGAAACATGCTCTATGCATGTGTTATGGCATGTGACTAATCAATCACCCACTGATCCCCATCCATTTCCATGTGAGACAGATTCTTCATAGCATTGTCCTGCAAGATGTCTTTATGCCTTTCTATCCTACAACAAAGGAAAAGAAAATCTTTGTATAGTGTGAATACAGGAAGAAAACTTTCAGGGTTTCTTCAGTCTTGTGAAGAATCACTTACTCCAACAGTTTGTTTTTGAGGAATTGTACCTTGGAAGACAGCCTTTGCCCATTCAGATTGACTTCAAACACGCATTTGAGTTCTGGTAGATAGCTTAAGTTCAAACAGTATATGAGTCCAAACAGAGCACAAGCCAATGCCATGCTGTCTATACAGCTAAGGACCTCCCACATCTTCAATTAGGACACCAATGTCCTCTGGGTCATCCTCAGGCTCTGCAGCCTCCTTCTTTATGATGTAAACCCCCATCAATGTTTGCTCCGTGGCACTTTTGGCTTCACTGTCTGTGTTTTGTGGGATGAATTGCAATTAACACCCCATGAATAAAGATTAAATCTACAGTCTCAAAAAATGACAGAAAGACAATGAAGGCAAGAACAAAATTGATTTCACAATTGGAGTATCGTACTATGAAAATGAAACACTTCATGAGACATTTAAATATACACACGAATAACAAAGGTACATATATAACAAAAGTGGACTGGACATTCCAGGAAAAACTGAAAGAAACACAGCCTCTTTAATCTATGTACTTTATTATTGTATTATGTATGGAACTGTGATGTCCTGTGATTTTATGGACATTTTGGATGCTTGATTACAAGTCACAGATCACGGTCTGATTTTGGATAGACAGAAATTTACAGTTAAATGTATTTAACTTTTCATATATTTGTTTACAAGTTTTTCATGATCTTCATTCAGGTGGGCGCACAAAGATTTAATGATTCATCCCCATCTGGTGTGTGCAGTGTTGTTCTAGAAAATAACAAAAATAAAGAAGGTATGTAGAAGCAATTTAACAATGATTCCTGTCTCTTAAACATAGCTATGTGGGACAGTTATAGACTTTCCATTGATACACCATGAGGTCTGATATTCAGGATCACCACACAAAATACAACGGGACCTCTGGGTCCAACCACAAAATCAAAGAAAAATATCTATATCAGGTTTAGTGTTCTCTAAATCTGGATTATTTTTACCACAATAACTTTCAGTTAGATAGACCTACCTTTTGGTACAACAGTATTAGAGGTGGGTAATACTGCAAAATTTGGTATCGATCCAATACTACGTAAATACAGGGCCAGTATTGCTGATATCAATACTGATTCTTTTCACTTAGAAAAAATAATGCCACCAAATTGATATTTTTCACCATACTTGCACATTCATGACACTTGTGTGAAAGAATATCTGTTATTGCTATGTATCATCAAATAAGCCTACTTTATTGTCAACTAACACTAGCTACTTTGCTAGCTTAGCTACCAAACATTACTGTATGTATTATGTGTGTGTGTTTGTGTGTGGGTTGAGGAGAGTGTGTTTGTACAAATGCACAAACAATAATACTCATAATAATTTTTAACCATAATGACAAAAAAAATGACATAAAATGACATTTATTCCTACATGGGTCTGTTTTCCACTTATTGAGGAGTGTAGGGTAATCACTAATCTGTCTGCTAAACAACTTACAACTATGATAACTACTAAATAACAGTAATTAATGCTGGACACGACTAAATCTTACTTTCACTGCTATGAATCAAATTCCTGGATATTGCTGGCCATGTTGAAAGGCCTCTGCCAGTGACTGCTGTCTCGGTGCCTTAAGTGTCCTTGTGGTTTGGGGATTCCCCTCTTTCTCCTCCCTCCGTTTGCTTTGGAGCTCAGAGTTTTATTTTGGGTGTATCATGTTAAATAAGTTTGTGGTGTTGCCACAATATCATAATCGTTTCCTGCAAATATCGTAGATTGCAGTGTTTGGGTCTACAGCTGTGAAATAACACCAAACGGTGCTTCTGTAGTCTTCTCTGCAGTTCGCTGAGTATCTCTCATAGACTGTATAAGAAAGATGGACGTAGCAATCATGATGTCACCCGTTGGTTTCTGCACTGAGAAAATGAAGCCAGGGTTTTGCTACTTCCTGGATTTTTTGGCCAGTGACGCAATACATGTTGGAGGGGGGCTGTAGGTCACAATTGATTAATCATAACGGATCAATAACGCTATTACAGTCTGTTTACTGCTGCCGTCTCAGGGCAGACAGTAGTGATCAGCAGAAGCTAAACCAAACTGATGTTACAACACAGAACACTGATTAGTGTTAATCTCTCAGTTTAATTAATGACGCTTGGTTCAGTTCATGTCTCTGTTCTCTGGCTTTTAACAGCTTCTGGCATTTCACTGAGACAAACATTTGTTAAAATGATTCCTTATCTTTCAGAAGCAGT